CAGGACACCCGCCCCCCAAAATTTTAGGCATCACACCCTTAGGCTACCCCCCCCCCCCCCATCCTCCCCAACCTTCTCCGCACAAGCATCCTCAATCACACCAACCACAAACCCTTTCATCCATCGCCTGCATCGCCGTCCTCAGCACCGCTCCCGAACTCTTCAAAACCGCAAATCACAAGACTGCGGATTTTGTGCGATTTGGTTTTGGAGGTTGATGAAGAAGAAGAAGAAGAAGAAGAAGAAGAAGTTGACTCTGATGTGTTGCTTTTGTATGTATAAGGTGACTTTGATCGAAGATCCGGGGATCCATGTGTTGGGACAAGGCTAGGTTTCCCACTCAGATGTCGTGAGTCTCGAGGAACGTATGTGACGCCGTCGACCGTCATCTCTGGTGGTGCGTGGCTTTCGTGTCGATGGTGGACCGTATCCTGCATACATGTATCGATTAGGCGTCGTCCTTGCGCAGTAGTTTCGTGCATTCAGCTCACCTGCCGTGCTTTTATTTGACCTTTTGTGCGAATGCTTCCGTGTCCAGTTCGGCTTTGTCGCGTGGCTGCAGCAGCAGGTATTGGAAGGAAGATCTACAAGTCCAGAAGCAGTCAAGCTCAGGTTGGTACTGTATACAGAAATGGCTTGGGATGAGGAGAACAAGGTTCACAGCCTTACTGACGTTGCAGCAGATCTCTGCCGGAGCTGCATGACTGACGGCTTATTCTACCTCCCAGACTCAGCAGGTGAGGATCAAGATGTAGACCTTCGCTCCATGTCACTGTGACTGTGAGGCCTTCTTCTGCATGTATGGGAGCTTGCTTCCGGTTGCTCTTTGGAGGCTGCAGTACACACATTGGCGGAGGTGGCTTTTTTAAGGTTGGATAGCCTCTATACCTATATACGCCGTGAAGAGGCTCTGCCACGCCACTTGACACCGGAGCCAGGCTCTGAATCAGCGCACAGACGAGACGAGTACTGGAGGCCTATCCGTAGTACCTACCCGCGCGCTCGGTCACGTTATGTCCTCGTGCCTCGGCTATAACTACCCGCGTAGCGGGTAGTCGATAGGTCAATGATAATTGCGGCTTAGTAATAATATCCGTAGACTATTATATTATCGACGTGTTTCCTCGTATTTCTAAGCTCTTTTACGCGCTATATTATATCGACTTATCTTAAGGAAGAAGATCGTATTATAGAAGCAATAGAGTAGCTTACTAAATAGGAGGTAGCTCTAAAGTTGACTAAAGTAGCCGAATTCTTCGAGGTACTATACTAACGACTACGATATCGTATTTAAGGCCTCTCTTCTAAATCTACGCAGAAGTTGAGTTATCGCAAGCTTAATAAGGTCTAGGAGGCCGCGATAGTCTAGTATTTAAAGCGCTGCGATGAAATCGGTGTATCTGCGCGCCTACGCTAGTTATTAGTTACCGCTAACTCGATTCTCGCTCGATACTACGACGATCCGACCTTACCGCTACTAATAGTATCTTCCGCGTAGGCAAGTCGATAGAAAGAGAGGAACCCTTAGTAGTAGAGAGTAAAGACTATACCGTTAGATGCGGCTAGAGCCGCTACTTATAAGGAAGGAGATATACAGTAGTAGTTTACTCGGTACTACTAGGTCTATATAGAATACGGCATATTGCTATCGGATATATAGAATATAGACGAGATAGGCTTCCGTATTAGTATAGCGAGAGGCTAGTAGGTACTTACTTAGTATCCGAAGAGGCGCAACTTCCTACCTATAGCTAATAATCGCGAGTCTCTAACGGTTATTAAAGCTATTAGCGCTGCTAGGTCTATAGTGCCTCTAATACTTATTCTATAAGGCAAAACACACCTAAATATATAGTTTTAATACTTAGAAGATAATACACTAGTTAGAGTAAGCGATTTAGGTTATATAAACGACGTTCTATCGCTAGAGTAGGTATAGCACTTCGATAGGTTCTCGAAGGTTACCTAAACTAGTAGCTTCCGGCTTCTGCTTCTCGACGGCTACGGATCGTATACAACTAAGGAATTTATTAAATATTGCGACGCTAATAATATTATACTATTCGTACTACCTTTATATACTTCTACTATCCTATAGCCTCTAGATATAGTTGTATTCTAGCCTTACAAACACTAGTACTCCGAAGCCGTAGATTTAGCCGTTCGGACTAGCTATACGGATTATAATAAGCTCGAGTTTCTAGTAGACTTTAAGCACTTCCGATTGCAGGCATTAAAGAAGGGCACTATTATATCGTTATTTGAGAAGACCGGACTATATCTATTTAATCCGGAGGTCGTTCTTGTTAAGGTTCGTACTTAGATCGAGTCTCTTCGCTCTCGAGAGAGGTAGATTACTCTAGAACCTTAATCGAGAGCGGCACCGAATATGCTTAATATACTACGTAGTATAAGGTCTTATAATCGCTTCACTTTAGCGCTACTTGAATAGAATATGCTAGACTCTATACGTAAGCTATTAACTAAGCTACTTAAAGCTACGGAAATTAGGCTTCTCGAAGGTATAGAAGCGATCGATAAACTAAACAATACTACTATTGCAATAGAGGCTAGAAGGGCTCGTAATCTATAGAAGAGGTCTAGTCTATAGAAAGGAGGTGTCTTATATACAAAGAACGCGCGTACTATTGTCTAAGAGCGATAAGAGAGTAATCTTATAAAAGCACGTAGAGCGCTTATACGTACTAAAGAAGCCGATATAAGATAACGGATAGCAGCTATTAATAAGTACGTAAAGGGAATACCTGCTAGGCCTGCTTACATTGCTTATAGGAAGAAGATTATTTACCTATAGCTTTAGGTTATAGACGATATTGTAGATATAGTATCGACAGTCGAATAATATTATTACTAAGCCGCAATTATCATTAACCTGTCGACTACCCGCTGCGCGGGTAGAGCCACCTAAGGAACGAGGGTAGGCTCGGACCAAGTAGCGGGTAGGTACTACAGATAGGAGATGCGGCCTTATCTGCTATCTTCTGTAATTGAGCCTGAGTTTTGAGTATAAGAGATAGCATACGAGCTCCTAAGGGACCGCGAATCTGATCCAAAGTGCTTTTTCTTGCAGCTGACAGCCGTGATGCTTAAGTAAGTGGTCGTGATTATGGATGTGAACCCGTTGTGTAAAGGAATCGTAGTGATGAAGTAGCGGGAAGGAGTGATGAGGGAGCTTGCTTCATTGGCGGCTTCTGAACCTGACTTCTTGGCAACCCGGACCTATTTTCATCCGCCATCATCCTCGAGTCATTCACTTCATTCTTGGCAGTGGACAGAAAAACCGCGTTCATCCTCGACGCGTGCGCATACTCTTCTTACCTCCACACATCACCACAGCAAAGACTCAATCTCTGCCACTCTGCGATGGAGGACGACGATCTACCTCTTCGAGAATCCTCCACACATCACCACAGCAAAGACTCAATCTCTGCCACTCTGCGATGGAGGACGACGATCTACCTCTTCGAGAATCCTCCACATCCAACGAGCTTTACCCAAGCGCTCAAGAATTGCAAGAGCAGTCAGAATGGCCGTTCCCACTGCGAGATCAAGAACTCACAGGAGTCGACATATATCAGTCCCTGTCTGATGTACCGCTACCTGACAGGATCAGGGACGAGAAGTACGAAATCGTTGTTGCACAACTTCGAGAGATCACTTGGGCTTTTACTAAAGGAGCTGAGTATCTTCGAGCCAATCTTGGGATTGGTGAATAGTACTGACTCGAACGATAAGAGAGACGCTGCTGTAAGCTCAAGGCCGAAGACTGAAGTACGAAATTTCATACACACGTTTGCAAAGCAGGGCCATTTTATTGATCATGTGACGATCCAATGGACGCGACTAGTCCTTTGATGCAGTGTTGTTCGTCTTGTCGACTTTCGACACGGCGCCATTCGCACCTCCATCCCGAATGAAAGGCTCGAGAGGGAACACAGAATTCTCCGCTGTGACTCCAGTGTACACAAAGTCCCACCTGGATTTCAGAGCTTCCGGTGTTGGCCATGCATACTCCGAGTCACGCAACCAAAGCCGAATCAGGTGTCTCCTACCATCATAGTCAGCCTAGTAATGCGTGTGGATAGCCGCGGGCTTACTGCTTCTCCAGAGTGTCTACGAATCCTTCACGAGCATGAAAGATGCTGAGATTGTTTATGTACTGGATATCGCCCTGCTTGAAGTCGAGGAGAATTCTGTGCTTCTCTGAAAGGAAGTGTAAAGCATCGAGAGCTTCTGCCTGTGCCTCGCTTAGGGCCGGGATATCGGGAGAACGAGGCAGACTCAGGTACCCTGTGAACGCCCTGCGCGCGTACTGAATGATCATTCTCTCGGGACTGGTCGCTGTACTTGGCACATAGTGCAGCAGCGGTCGTACAGAACACTTCTTCCCTTTACCGGTGAAACTATTTCCACGTCAGCGTTGGCCTTTTCATTTCAGGAAGATGGCACATACTTCTCAAATGGCCAAGGCTCAGCCAGAGTTCTGATCAGGTCCGGTCGAGATCTGGAATAGCATCAGTGTGTGGCTCAAGAAACGCAGGACAAAAAAGCTCCAGCTTACCTGGCCAGTTCGTTATATACCATCCATGAGCTCGAAAGCTTACTCTCTCCGCCTTCTGCTGCTTCTTCGAGGCAGAAAAGAGCAATCACATCGCCAGCATCTGTGTGGAACACCTAGAACACACCATCGTCAGCAAGGTCGTGTAACCAAGAAGCCTGTGATTTGATATACCTGTTTCTCATTGGTAAATGCAGGAGCACCAATCCGACTGGAATCAACGGTCATCGTCATATTCTTGACGTGGTTGAGCACGACATCCGCTGCCTTTCCATCGTGTTCGCTATCCTGCCGGCCCCGAATGTCCGCAATATGCGAGGAGACGCCAGCATAGATTATAATGTTCTCCCGACGAGTATGCTTCGTCACTGGCAGGCCTCGGAGGACCTTGAAACCTCTACCATTGTGAACCTCGTCAGAGATCTTCCTCAAGGTAGAGTGCAATTTCGGTAGAGGAAATGTTTCTTGGTTGATGAAGCCCAATGGCTTGCCAAGGGCTGAGAGCGAAGGTCAGTATTGTCACTGCCAGTTCATGATGATCATCACTGACACAAGAAATGCTCTAGAGCGTCTTCGATCTCTTGTACCTCAGCTGCATTGAGCTCATAGGTCCAGTTATACCTCTCGCCAATGGTGTTGTCCCATACCAGATCTGAGTTCAAGCGTACAGGAAACCCAGCCGGCAAGTCTTTGGCGAGCTTTTCGGTCTGCTGTCGACGCTGTACGCGAGCGAGATACTTGTTCAGATTCGGTACGTATCCAATGTCAGGCGCGACGATTGATGCTGGAGTTTGAACGCCGACACTGCCCATCTTGCAATAATTTGGGAAGATCACGACAGCTAAGATACAGCTGAGTGAAGATCTCTGCTCTTTTCTCTCCTGTACCCGTGGCCGCTTATTAAGTGACACGAGTTGCCACTGTCGGTCACATGAGAGAGCATGGACGTGGTATAGTTGTCCAAGCAATCGATCCGCTGCGGTCGAGACCTGTGCGACGGTGATACGGAGACGTTTCCGACCATCGCTGACGCTCGAGAATAGTAGACCAACACACGTGGGGGTTCAAGACCGATCGCATCGGGTGACTAACCTTGTCGTTTCTAGCCCAACAAAACAAAACAATCGGTCCCATTTCTTTGCTGAGCTTGATCGTCACAACTCCCGAAGCTGAAGATCGTTCCGCATGCAGAGCGCAAAATTCGGATGGAGGCGGAGATCTAGGGTTGAGTGGTCGGTACGAGGTGAGTGAATTAATCCCTGATCTGATTAGATTTCGGTGATAAGATCATCTGATTAATATTGAGAACTCAAAAGAATATCCCTAGGTAGTGTCCACCTTATCCAAGCACGGCGCGGGGATTTACCCTCCTCTAACCCATAGTCTACTCCTTAGCTCCCATGTAAAGCTGCATGGATTGGAGTGGCGACCTCGGAAGCACGCCAGGATTACGAGCAATACGGCCACGCTACTGTTACAGCAGCATGAGACTAGCAGTGGACTGCCAAATATCAGTTACAATGGAATAGCAACAACCGAATACATGTTGGGAAGCACATGCCTAGCACTTGAGCTTGTTAGTGCTTGAAGATGTCTTAAGCAATGAGGATCCTGCGAAAATTGCTGACCACTTCATTCGGACGGCTATCACAATGCAACGCGAACTACAGGCTGTCAGCATAGCCTTGAATTCGCTCAAATGTCGTGGTCCAATGCCGACCCGCGCAGAGATGACTGTCGGAAGCAAAGCCATTGTTCTTGCACTGCTCTCGCCGGCTCACTTAAAACAGCTGTGTTGGCGCGCGACTTCTTGGTCAGCGTCACGCACTCACCATGGCACCTTCTGCAATTACCCCTGGTTGTCCCGAGACGACCAGAACTCGATCACGATCGAGCAGCCTAACCACGAGCATTGCGAGTGAGTCGCTTGTCGAAACAGCCATGCAGGAGCAAATTGCAGGTTTTGGGCCTCCGGCATGCAATGAAGACGACGACCCTTTCTTTGTAGCTGATCTGGGAGAGGTAATCTTGGAAAACCTAGGTCAAGTTACGATGTAGCTAACTCCAACGAAGGTATACCGCCAATTCATACGTTGGAAACAGCATCTACCACGCATAAAACCATATTTTGCCGTCAAATGCAATCCAGACCCTGCTGTGCTGCGATTACTTCACAACCTCGGGACTGGATTCGATTGCGCGAGCAAGCAGGAGATTCAGCAGGTCCTCGAAATGGGCGTCAGCACTGACCGGATCATCTATGCACAGCCGTGTAAAGCGATAACCCATCTGAGATTCTCTACTCAACATGGCGTGCGGAGAATGACATTTGATAACGCTGATGAGCTATATAAGATCCAAGCTGTCTTTCCGGACGCTGAACTCTTATTGCGCATCACGACAGATGATTCTGCGAGCCTTTGTCGACTCAGTCAAAAGTTTGGGGCTGGACTTGAGCAGACCGGCGACTTACTGAAGCTAGCGAAAGATCTTGATCTCAATATCGTCGGCGTTGCTTTTCACTGTGGATCAGGTGCATCGGATGCTATGGCGTTCGTGCAAGCCGCGCGTGATGCCCGATTTGTTTTCAATCAAGCAGAGGATCTCGGGTTGAAGCTTCACGTACTTGATTGTAGGTGTGTTAGAAAACATGCTACAGGAGAAGTTGCAGACACTGATCTCAGAATCATACATCCAGGCGGCGGCGGATTCGTTTCCAAAACTTTTGATCATACCGCGAAGATGCTGGCCAAAGCGATCGACCGCTTCTTTCCGCCAGACATCGAGATCATTGCTGAACCCGGCCGACTCTTCACAAACACCGCATTTACTCTGGCCTGCAACGTCATTGCTCGCCGCACGAGTTTGCGTGACGATAGACTATACATCAACGATGGCATCTACGGGAATTTGTCATGCATGATTTACGATCATCAGAAACCAAAAGCGAAGCTTTTACGCACACGACACACAGCGTCTACGAACAGCTTGAAGTACTCGATTTGGGGACCAACTTGCGACGGCATCGATTGCATCGATATGGATTGGCTGTGCAATCAGGAGGTGAAAATTGGAGACTGGTTGTACTTCGAGGACATGGGAGCGTATACAAAGTGCTCAGCCACTCGTTTCAATGGCTTTCCCAATGATCATCGAACGATTTACGTATGCAGCGAACCTGCTGCTACAGTTCTGCTGGATATAGAATAGACATTAGAAGCTCTTTCGTTTACACTGAATACGAGAGAGAAAACTCCAGGCTCTTCATTTTTACTTTACCGACGGACAGAAGGTCGGATTAGGCTACTCCGGCTACGAAGCTAGCGTTCTTGGCCGTTGCATTAGTGCGTACATAGACTGAATGAGCCCCAGTTGCGATTATGTCTAGATAAGAGCCTCATCCGCACTACACAAGAGAAAAAGACAAAATGTCAATTATCTAAAGGCTGGACACAGTGTCACAGTTCTGAGCACTGTTGGCTTTTGCAAGACCCATACATCACAATCTCCTTTGCACCGATCATGACAAGCAAGGAAATCATACAGATCGATCAAGAAATGGCAACTGGAATAGATGCTTCCTGCTCAGAAGGTACAACGGCCAAGAAGCAGGGCGCCGAGGACGCTACTGATCCCGCCCGATCCTGGACATACAGCGCCAAACGAAACACGACGTACTTGGTATCTCTCTACAAGCTTGTCTCCTCGATGGCAGCGTCTTCGCCATCACCGGCTCTGGCAGTCATAGGAATGGAATTTGGCACCCAGAGCAAAGTGCTCAAACTTTTGCCGCTCTCAGCTTACTTGCTGGGCTATACAGTGGGACCCTTGATCATCACTCCACTCGCGGACGCTTTTGGCCGAATCCGAATGCTACAGATGAGCAACATCATCTTCGTCATCTTCAACCTCGCAGCAGGATTCTCACGAAACAATGCAACTCTAGTTACGCTACGGGTGCTTAGCGGAGTGGGAGGCTGCGGAGCATTGACTCTGGGAGGTGGCATCCTGCGCGACTGCTGGATCAAAGAGGAAAGGACCAGAATGATTTCTGTCTACAGTCTTCCCGCACAGCTAGGACCAGCAATCGGGCCTATCATGGGAGCTTTCATCTCGAAATATTTGTCATGGCGTTGGACATTCTGGATAGTGTCCGTATGCAGTGGGACTGTGCAGCTGGTCGGCTTCATCTTCCTGAGAGAGACAAGACCAGGTTTCATCGCCACCTCGGACGGCTCACATGCACGAATGGCAAGCAAGGTGGCTAAAGACCTCAAAGAGAGTTTCCAGAGACCACTGAAAATTTTGAAGCTTCACGCGGCTACGCAGCTTCTTGCGTTGTATTCGGCATTTGCGTATGGCTTGACATTCCTGGCAATCGTCTCTTTCCACGGGGTTTGGAGTCACCACTACAGCCAACCGGAGGACTTGGGGAGTCTCAACTTCCTTGCCCTCGCTTGCGGATTCGTGGCAGGGAGTCTGGGCATCCGACCGATCAATGAAAAGATATACGCGAAACTCAAAACCCGCGATGAGAAGCAAGAAGGCCATCCAGAGTATAGAGCTCCAACATTGGTCATCGGAGCACTGTTGGTTCCAGCAGGACTTCTCCTCTTCGGTTGGACGGCTCAGGCGCGAGTCTTTCCGGTGGTGCCTGACCTTGGTGTTTTCCTGTATGCAGCAGGCATCGTGGTTGTTCTGCAATTCACTAATTTGTACATCGTGGATATCTACGAGGCTCAGGCAGCAAGTGCCATGTCCGCAATCACTGTCATCCGCTCGCTCGTGGGGTTTGGCCTCCCGTTATTTGGACCGAAGTTGTTCGAGGCTCCCCTGGAATATGGATGGGGGAATTCCGTGCTAGCGCTGATCGCAATGGTGATCGGTTGGCCTCTTCCTCTGCTGATATGGAGGCGAGGACGGCGACTTCGCACACGGGATGCTGAATATCAAGTCTGACAGGGTCTGGGCATGGGTTCCATTGAGTTTGCAATCCTTGTCAGGCCACTGAGCATATTGTAACCAGCAAAGAATCTGCTCCGGAACATGTGCCAAGAAAGCATACTTTGGACAGGATCATTCGTAGCGCACTTGCCGTCCATTTCCCCTTGACGGATTGCGAGTGAAGTCCGGCTGAGAGCGCACCCTGGCCAGAGTTCCGGAATTCTGCTCGCATTCGTACTCGCAGTAGACTGCTGCATTAGTTACTCGCCGCCCTGCGATGGCACCATTGGAGAGAAGAATCTCCGCATCGTGACATGTGCTTGGAACTGATCAGGACGATCCGGGTTTCTTCCAGAGTGTCAAGGATGAGGCTGGTCCAGGCATAGCCTCTGAAGTGCAGTGCCGGTGATGAGGAGTTTGCTCAGCAGACTGAGTGCGCATGTTGAGTCGACCCGACTATAAATGTAGATAGAGGCGTCGATTGATGTGTATGACTCTTCGAAGCATTCCTGTTTGCTCCCTGGCCGTATAGTTCTTCCTCGTTATGAGTGCATACCTGGATTGCGACCCAGCCTTGGTCGAGCAGGCACAATTCGAAACGACCTCGAGAGTAATCGCAGCACTCCTCAACGAGAGGCTCGTTGATGCGATCGATGGCGAGTGTCCAATACCACCTTTCGTGAATGGCATTTTCCTTACCCGCAGAGCTTCGCACGCACCAAAGCAAGTGATATGGATCGCAACCGAAGAGCAAAGCCATACCGCAGTTGCAAACAGGAATGATGCTTTCCATCCTGCCGACTTTAAAATGCCAGTCATGGTCCGCTCTGGAGCTTCTGCGTCAGACTTCGTCAAGGAAACAGAGCCAGCCACAATCCTGACTATCGCACGGTCTCTATTCGATATTGATGAGAAACTTTTCGACGAAGACTCCTGGGACCAGATCCTCAGCCAAGTCAAAAATGCTGCCCAAAACCAAGTGGCTTGGTTCCGTTGGGCGATGAAACAACCAAGACCACAGATCACGAGTAGTGCACTGGATTGGGAGCAGGCATTGGTAACTGGCCACCCTGCACACCCCATGCATCGATCTTGTGTAGCTCAGCGGCCACTGGCACAGATTCTGCCATCCCAGGCGCCCACGTTGCTACGCCCGAGCATGTCGATCGTTGCTGTGGATAGAGCCGCCGTCCGACTTTCGGGTCCGTTTCGAAGACTTCTGGAACCATTACTTGCAAATTTCGATCTGCCTGCGGTCGGATCCAACGATATCATTTTCCCTTGCTTGTCAAGACAATGGCCAGCAATTCGAGACAACTTCCCATCGGCCTACATGCTGGTCCCAGATGCGATCGAAGCAGAAGCTCAAGCATCGATTCGCACAGTGACCATTCCGAGCAGGTACCAATTTCATTGGCATCTCAAGACTGCTCTTGCATGCACCATTACCTCTGCCCTTCGGACCGTCACTCCCTGGACTGCTTGTGTTGGACCGGAGCTTTCCGATGTGCTCAAGGACTTGGTCCCAGATGATCTATGGATTGCGAGCGAGGTGGCTTCTATTACCGGATCTCAGGCCAACTTTGATGAAGCAAAGCACATCTCGTGCATTCTTCGCGAGGATCTCGAACCTCGGGCAGAGTCTCTGAACCAGAGCTTGATTATCTGCGCAGCACTCGCGGAATGCCCATATGGTAGTTCGGAATGTAACGCTGCTCTGGCATTTGATCTCCACGACGCTGAGACAAAGATTGCCTGGCTGGCGGAGTATACTTCCGTATTGGTTGAATCGATTCTTTCGCCAGCTTTAGACAGCGGCATCTGCCTCGAAGCTCATGGCCAGAATATGCTCGTCCGAGTTGACAAAACGTCAAAGAAGATTGTCGGCTTCGCCGTACGAGATGTTGGAGGAATCAAATGCCACATGCCAACGTTACGGAGTCGGGGCTACGATCTCTTGTCGGCGCTTCCAGGAAGCTTCGTGGTATGCGATGACGAGGAAGAAGCTTGGAGCATCGTGCAACACACTCTGATCAACAATCACTTGCATCATTTGATTCGTCGACTCCGTGTCCCTCAAGGCCAAGCATGGCAGATGATACGAGACCAGATTGAAGGATTTTTCAGTCGGCGTCCCAAGAGTGATGTGGCCCAGAGATTCCGGGAGTCCCTGTTTCGGCCAGAGGTCCACAGCAAGGCGTTTCTGAGGATGAAGATGCAAGGTTTATACAGAGACGTGAGTATTGCTCAATGGTCTTCACTAATTCTCACTAATGCGGCTTTAGTATGTACACACCACCGTCCCGAACGTCTTACTCACCCGATGAGAATGGTCCGCATAGTACGAGCTTGCGGATGTGGAAGCTTGCAGACTGCATTTACATGTAACCTCGTTTTGAGTCCATTCGGCGATGATGTTGGGAGAGGCAGGCGCGAGGAACGCGGTCCAGGGGAGGCGACCTGTAAAATCACTTATAGAAGCGACTTAGAGGAGTTATAAATGGAGTTTCGGGAGAGTGAGACCTTGTTGTGGTTCTGAACAGCTCCTGTTGCTCGTGCCGGGAACAGTCCGCGGATCCAATCATCGGTCGAACATTAGAATACTTATTCAGCCCCTTGTACCCGCTCCCAATATTTGATATTTGCAACAATCATGCCTCATCGATATGTGAACGCATGATCGGAGAGTACTCCTTATCTTCATCCGTCTCGTCGGTGAAAATAGACTCCTCCGTCTGGCTATAGTCGAGCCCAGCCAAGACCTCCTTATCTGTCGCCAGGACCTCCCATCCCGGGACACAATCGATCAATGCAATGATCGCGTACGAGCCCACAAATGCCCAGGCCAGGCCGATCAATGCCTCGACAATCTGCACCCAGATTTGTCTCCAATTGCCGTCGAAGAAAGCCCCGCCTTCCACCTCTACGCCTCCATACGCAGCCACCTCCTTCTGGGCAAAGAGGCCCGTGAAGATTGTAGCTGTAATGCCACCAACACAATGAGTAGCAAAAGTATCGCCATTGTCGACCCACTTCCAGCGCCTCGCAAAATCGGTGAACTTGATACGAAGGGCTTGGCGGCAGACAAGAGCTCCAACGACGCCGAAGAGCAAGGAGGTCGGCATATCTATGAAGCCTGCTGAAGGCGTGATCATCACAAGACCTGCAATTGCGCCCATAAAGGTCGAGTCGAGAGACCATTTGCGCGTCTCTGCGAATGTCGTACAAGCCCAAGTCAGAGCCCCAGCGGACGCGCAGAGATTCGTGACGCATAGAGCCATGACGGACTGGAAGGTGAGGCTTAAGGTCGTGCCTGCGTCGAATGCCAACCAGGAGCCCCAGATTATGGTCATCGCCAGAATTTGCGAGTAAGAATTTCCTGGTTTGTGGAGCGCAATATGCGAAGGTGTCCGTGTTTTTGACCCTCGGGAGCGGAAGAGCGGATAACTCATATAGATGCTAATCGCGCTGGCTGTTGCTCCAGAACAGACATGGACGGGCGTTCCTGTCAAAAGCGAGTTAGGGATTTATCAGTCAATCGCGCTCGACGAAACTCACCTCCAGCAAAGTCCAGCACGCCTAGAGTTTTTCCAAGATATCCGCCTCCCCAGACCATGTGTGCGAGAGGACAGTAGACAAATGTGCCCCAGAGGAAAACGAATGGAACCAGCGGCCAAAGCCTGCCTCTCTCACAAGCTCCTCCGACCGCAATGGCACAAACAGTCGCCTCAAACACAAGCTGAAACTCCGAGAACAAGATCGCTGGAATTGTACCAACGGGCTCAGCCAGGACTCCGATATGGAAAGCATTCCTCAGGTCGCCAAATACAGCACCAGTCTCTCCATATGCCAAGGTGTAGCCTATGACGAACCATTGTACGCTACACACTGCAATCGTGAGGATGGCTGGCATGAAGGATGTGAGTCCATTACGCTTCCATGAATACCCAGAGTATGCAATGCCGACCTATAATATGGCATTAGCATATCTGTACAGCGTTGTGATGGCGTTGCTTACAGCTGGAATGATAGGCCAGCAGAAGACTGTGCAGACAAGTACGAACAGTGTGTCGGTCTTGTCGCATGTCTCCCATGCCTTTAGCACGTCTGCCACCGGCATGGTGCCACCTTCCTTGGACTCGGCTCAAAGTGTTGTGAAGTATTCCACGGACGCTGTTCCAGGGCACAAGCTTTTCTTCAGATTGTGTGTTCTCGAATCTGGGTAGTCGCGCCTGCGTTGTTCTGGTTGAAGGCGGTCCTGGAGTGCAATCACGACAGTCTTGCCGGCGGGGCAACGCTCAATAATGCTGCTACAAGAGCTATGCAACCAAGATAGAAACTCGATCGCAGTCCCGCCTTGTGCTCGTGCTTTATGAAGTCAGTGACATTAGGCCATGTGCTCGTGCTTTCTTTATGAAGTCAGTGGCATCAAGCCATGTGCTCGTGGAGTGTGACACTGCAGAGTAAAGCCCCTGAAGTTCGGAAAGCTGGATGGACCCTGCGCTGATCCATATATGGACAGCATAGGACACATTCAACGCGGATAAAACAATGGCATGATCGGAACGGCAATGAAGCATGGGTTTGCCCAGAGATAAGAGACGGGGAAGCCGACTGATGACAGGCAGGAGCTCAAGACGCTAGCCCAGTTTACTACCGTATTCGGTTAGCGCCGAGGACGTGAATGCATGCCAGCCAACGACAAGAACAATTCGTTATTGCCGTCAGCTTCGAACTTGAGGGTTCTATTCACAGCGACCATACCTGGCGAACATCACTTTCTTCCTGGATGAAGTTGGTCAGTACAACACACTGCTGGATCCTGGCTGCAACATACTGTTTGAGGCTCTAAAGTAAGAGGAGGTCAATGCTCAAAGGCACAGCACGAAACCCGCCATCTTGATACAGCCAGGAGCATCATTCGCTTTGCAGTCTCGCCTCGTGGGCCTCGATGACATCCCATAGCTCATTACATGCAGCAAGCACATTCGCATACACAGCTTCATCGCTGCAGAAGACAGGTCCACTGAGACCATTGGCGAAGCAAGAAATCCGCTGGCGCTCCAATCCTGCTGCCATCATCGCAAGCTGCCAGCTCCAAACTACGGTGCCGTGATAGACGGTCCGTGGGCACAGACTGGATCTCCACCATATTCGGGATGTGCAATGAAAAGGCGCATGGAATTCGTCGACCCCACGGGGTATGGTCTGCGGATGTTGGTCGCCGTCTGATTCCGAAAAGCTTCTTCTCCGAGTTCGACGGAAATTCGTATCACATCATAGGAGATTCGTGCGCTGCCGATACCATACAGTAGCTGCGGTCTCGTCGGTGATGTTGACGTCGGATCGGCACAAGATTTAGACTTTCCGACATCATTTGTCTGCCAAGCCGCAATCTGCCGTCCACTATTAATATTCACTCTTTCCTGCTGCGCTGCGCTGCGTGTCTGGTCCCTGGATCTTGCGATACCACACCGATCAGCATGCTGGACAACCACACAGCAATATTGGAGATGCAAACGTCTTTGATGAGCGCGATATCCGGGGTCCGTGCCTGGCATTGACTTCATCCAGCTCGCTTATCTTTGCCCACGGGGAATGGCGGCCAAGTTGGGTCGATCCTGGCCGAAGCGGTTTAGCCTTATCAAGAGTACTGCTGTCCACGATCACACCTTCAACAATCATCAAGACGGCCAGCGACGGCCACAATGCCTTCTCCAACATGCCCGTTGTTGAGCATCCGGCTGGCATGTCTGACCCGCGTCCTGCATCACGAGACATCCGCTGATGGAGCTTTCTTCACCCAACCAGAACCAGGGGAGGAAGTACAAGTCGAGGAAGGAGAGGCCATGCGACGCTTGCAGACGGCGGAAAGTCTGCTGTATCAGAGAGCCTGGCGATGATGCGTGCAGTCTCTGCCGCATGCAGAACACTTCTTGCCGATATGACCAAGGACCAACGCCAAGACGACGGCGACGGCGACCTGCCTCAGCCGTGGCGGCAGCAACCCCTAGCGGAGAGAGCGACCAAACACCCCCTGGTCCGATTCTGATCCCGTCCAACACTGCGCCTCTGACTCCCTCGGTGAGCCAAGAGCAGGCTTCTGGAGAATGGATCTCTCAATATGTTGGTCTCTCCGGCGACCAAGATCCTTACGTCCTCAGGCATTCCAACTTCAATAAGTCGAATTATTACAAGAGCGGTGACTGGGCATGCTTGAGGGTACGAAGCGATGGAATCGTGCCATCGATATTCACACTTGTCCCCGAGACTCATCTGGATGCTAGGCCCGCCCACTATCCGCCCAGCAGTCTGCTTGATGCCGCATATCCACTACACCATGAGCTCTTGTCAACATACTTCGAAGTTGTGCACACTTCATTCCCACTACTGGATCCCTCAAGATTCGTGAAAGGCAACAAGATCGATCTACCACTGCTTGGCGCCATGTACAGCCTGTCGAAGCCTTATTGTTCAGCGGCTTCTGACTTGCCATATCAACCACTACATTCATTCGTGTTTCAGGCACTGCCAATCGAAGCTCGCACGCCTCGGCTGGACTCCATTGAGGCGCGTCTACTGTTCCTGCAGCGACACACCCAGATTCATCGTGCGCCGACGACTCCAGGCTTATATGCAGAGATTGGAGAGCTGGTCGGTATGTGCCACGATGCTGGCTTAAATGTCGACCCTTCCAAATGGGACATTTCTGCAGCCGATAGGAGTCGGCGAAAACGTCTCTGGTGGGCCTTATATATTTTTGACAAATGGGCCGCCCTTGGACTCGGACGGCCTTCATACATCCATGCAGATGATAGCAATGTTGCAGTTCTAGGCATCGAAGATATTCCGTCGTCGACAGTTGGCAAACACAGCCTACCGCGCACGTCTGCCCACATGTTCGTCGCAATGGCCGCACTGTCTCAGATTCTATCTGCTATTCTAACGACTTTCTACACTCTTAAGGCTGCAGATAATATGGCTCGTGTCACCGCAGCAGATGTCGCCAACATGAAGTCATACTTTGAGCAGCAGCTAAATGACTTTCATGCTCGCTATTTGGTTGCGTTGCAGAACGTCGTTGACGTCTTCCTTGATCCTACAGGCAAGTCAGCAGCAGATCCACCATGGCATTCGATCTGATCGCAGAGCAGGCACCGTATACCTTGCATTTTACACTGCTGAGGTAGTCCTCTACCGAGCACTTCTTCGCTGTCTTCCTCCGACCGACCCGCTCTGCCAACAGGTCCGTCTGCAATCAAAACAAGTCATTACTGCCATCTCGAAGCTTCTCGAAAATCTCCAAGTCACCAGACTCCGAGCATTTTGGTGGTCGCCTATCTCTCGTATCAACTTTGCGATAGCGGGAGGATTCATGTTCTCAATGCTCTTGTCGTCCATCACCGATGAAGACATAGATTACTGGTCGAAAGAAATAACACGATATCGCCGACTACTTGATATGCAAAGTCTCTCGTTCGACACTACAAAGCTTGCTGCGGCGAGGATAAGCGCCTTGGCCAACGTGAGTCAAGGAGGGCGTCCTCAAAGTGCAGGCGCTGGCAGTGTGGATCCGAAACAAGCCTTCTGTCGAGATTTTACCGTCGAGCTCAACACACTCTGAAGAGTATCAACAGGATCTTCCACTGCCTCTCTCGATACCAATATAAGGACGAGATTGCTCCAGCAGGCTTTCTGTGTCTCTGCAGACCAATCACAGCAAGCACGCTTGGCCATCAGGCTTTCGCGCTGCCTGAGCTACGCATCGATCCCAGAGCCGTCGGGGAAGCATATCTTATTGTTCTAAATTTGTACTCTTTATCAAGCTACCAGAATGCCGTTCCGCGGCATCAAGTCAGGCTGCTCGTCATCGCGCATAGCCCGTGATGTCTAAGGATTCCGAAGGATCTGTTGTGGTTCAGTCAGGTGATATGCTGGTCAGCTGATACCATTAGCTAACCTGTGCCAAGAGGAAGGACACACAATGGGTATATTAACTGCAGTTTCTGTAGCTGGCTCCTAATCCTTCTTTGTATAGTTATATAGTTGTCAATCCGATGATTAGTTATATCCTTAGCACGATTCACAACAGGTTATAAGCCCGGCGTATACGCTTACCTATCTAGTTCAACTATAAAAGAACTGTTTCTAGAGTCTACTAAACAGAGCTAGCTATCTAGACCTATTAGGTACCTAGTTAAGAGCTCTAGTTCGGACTAAAACCTAGCAAGTGTCCCTTATAAGCCCTACCTAGCACTATACTAAAAGGCAGCTAGGAACGATAGACACTAATTAGACAAAGATAGTAAAGGAGAATTAGGTTCTTAGGAAGGGGATCAACTTCTAAGACTAGAAGCTTATATTCTAGGCGGCCCTTCTAGAAAAGGACCTAGTTAGTATAGTATTCTATAGACTTAACTAGGCTAATGAAATAAAACTACCTCTAAAAAGCATGTTTATAGGGGACTTAGCCGATTAGTAGTATAGAGACATATTTAGGGACTAGAAAAAGAAAGACATCTAAGCCCTAGGCATACTTATTACTAGACTCGACCCTGCTCTTAGACTAGACTTCGGTAACATACCTAAGTTAGCTAAGGACATATACGACTACATTAAGGCTCTATACAAGCCTATTGTAACCGTAGACATATTTAATACCATTAAACTCATTAGGCATATTAGGATGCCCCTTACCAATCCGAACACCTAGTAGTACTACGAATCTTTTTAGCAGTAGTTTAATAGATTCTAAACATTAATAGAACAATTTGCTAGCTTAGTTACAATAACAGAAGCGCCTATAAAGTTATTAGATATTAAGATACCTAATATGCTTGTTAGGATGCTATTTATTTAGGGCCTTTCTAGTTACGAATAGCTTAGATCCTAGAAGTACAACAATAAGCCTAAAGCTAAGGACTCCTCCCTTAAAGCAATAATAACGTCCCTAAGGAGAGAAAAGCCTCCTAGATAGTTATCTAGCGGCTTAAAGCTTATTAGAGGGGCTATTAGCAATAATAACGACTAGTGCACTTAGTGCAAGCACAAACACACTAACGCTAAGTGCTATAAGCAACACCCTAATAGTATAGCACTACCTAGTTAGGGAAAGAAAGACAAGAGCAAAGACAAAGATAAAGGCAAGAAGGGTAAAGGTAAAGGAAAGGGCAAATCTAGTAGTGCTATTAACAATAACAAAGATGAATTAGACTCCTCCTCTAACTCGGAAGATAAGGGAGACTATTAGCTAGACGGCCTTAGTAGGGGCCTAATTAGGGGAGCTATTACAAAGCCGGGACTAGCTGTAGCAAGCTCTAAGAACCTAATAGCTAATACAAAAGTTTAGGATATAGGTACATTACTGCATATTATAGGGAACAAGAGCTAGTTTAGCGATCTTAAGCACCTAACTAAGCCTATTCAGTTCTCCTAAGCAGTAGGAAAATTAAGTGTATTACGATTAGGAACTGTTAACATCTTCCTAACCTATAAAGGAAAGAAAACCCTAATTACTCTAATAGACGTCCTCTACTCCCCGAACTTAGATTGTAACCTAATCTTAGTAGAGCGTCTTTAAAAGAAATATAGTATTTACTTAGACAGACCTTTAGGCACTTTAATACTTAAAGGCAAGCTAATTAGAAAGGTTGAGGAAGTATAAGGAGTACTTGCCCTTAAAGATGCTAAAGTCAAAATGCTAGGCTTAGCTTTAAAACCAAACTTAGAATCGAGTTAGAAAGGGTAGCTATTAGCCCTAGCTATCGCTAGACTACGAGCGGACACATTAAGATAGTATTAGAGACTTAGCTACGTCGGCAACAAGATCCTAACAGCTACTAAGGAAGCTATTCTAGGCCTAGAAGAAGTTGATATATCTAAACTCGAGTACTATAAGACCTGTAAGCTCTCGAGAGCTTAAAGAGTTATATTAAGAGAACATAGAACCAGACTAGAAAAAGCCCTTAACGAAGTCTATATTAACCTTGTTAGCGTATAACTATTTAATCTGTTTAGAAACAGGTACATTATAATCCTAACTGATGCTAAAACTAGGCTTAGGTAGGGTCTATTACTTCGAAATAAAGACAAGGTAACAAGTAGTAACAAGCTAACTAACTAGATAACCAGAATTAAGAGGCAATATAACAAAATCCCTAAGATTATCTTTAGTAATAGCGGAGGAGAGTTTACTAACAACGATCTAGTATATTTTGTAGAGGAAGTTAGCATTAGATAGGATATATCTATACTATATATACCGGAGCAGAATAGCATTGCAGAGTCGTTAAACAAGACGATTCTGCTTAAGGTAAGAGCAATAATAATTGACTCTAGCCTACCAATATACTACTAGTGCTTTGTAGTAATGTATTCGATTTACCTAACTAATAGACTAGTAAACTTAAGAACTAAGGAAGTTCTACTTAAGGCTTTCGAATTAGACTTGAATATCGGTAGTATAGACATTAACCTATCTAAGACGAGACGGTTTGGCTATAAGGCATTCAAATACCTTGAATCCGGGGCTAAACGACTTAACTCCTAGAAATTTGCACTAAGAGCTTTCGTTTACTAGTTTATTAAATTCTAAGAAAATTCGTTAACAAACTATCTGCTTTAGAACCCGCACTAGAAGGATAGCGTATAGTAGTATAACATCAGATTCTCTCTATACGTTACCTTTAACGAGGACTTTGTCTATAGAGATAATTTCACTAAGCTTCTAAGTACCCTTTAAGCTTAGAGGGAGTATTTGAGACTAGCTATCCCTTAGGAGACTATTTAGGTACTTGAAACCTAGTCTAACCTTTCATTTAAGTTAGGAATCCTAGCACTATTCCCTAGTAATAACTAAACACTTTAGCACTCTTTAGAACCTTAGGGGGAGCTATTTAGAGGTAGCATCCCTTAGCCTTAGTAGGCTTATAATTAGGAAGATTAGGAAGACTCCCTTATAGCTTAGGAGGAGCAAGGTATACTTAAGTAAGGAACACTACCTTAGCTAATACCTATAGCTAATAAGCTAATACTCCAAAATTACTAACTAGAACTACTAGCTACCTAGTAGGAAGCTGCTCCTAAGAAAAATTAGCATACTTAAGAAACAGATACTGCTAAACTAGAAGACACCCTAATTACTCCCTTCTAAGTCCCTAAGACTACTAGCAAGAGAAAGAGGGCTCCTAACCTACCTTAGCTAAACCCTCCTTAAGCCGAAGTACGACTTAGGTCTAGTAGAGCCGTAGCTAAGTATAACTATAGCAAGATTACTAAGATTACTATAGCTACTACTACAAAAGATGCTTAGAAGCTAGCTAACCTAACAACCCTAGCTGAAGCCCTAAAAAGGCCTAACTAGGATAAATAGAGAAAAGCCGTTATAAAAGAGATAAGGTCTCTTAAAAAGTCTAGTACAATCGAGTGGATTCTAGCCGAATCCCTACTAAAAGGCAGAATACCTCTAATAGGAAAATAGGTTTTCAAGATTAAATACCTACTAGACGGCTCTATTAACAAATATAAGGCAAGATGGACAGCTAGAGGCTTTATATAAAAGCAAGGTCTTAACTATGTTAACACCTATGCTCCTATACTAAGAGTAGCTACTACTAGACTTGTCCTTAGACTTTTAGTAAACAAAAACTAGAAGCGAAAACAGGTTGATATCGAGACTGCTTTCTTAAACCCCCCTCTAGACAAAGAGATTTTCATTAGACCCCTAGAAGGCGCGCACCTATTTAAGAAGCACCCTCTAAAGTAGATTATCCGTATTAGAAAAGGATTGTATAGCCTTAAGCAGGCTGCTAATCTCTAGTACTATAATACTTTAGACACTCTTCGTTAACTTAGCCTAAGTAGGACAAAGAGTAACTATTGCCTATAGTAAGGCAATAGTATTCTTGTCCTCCTTTATATAGATAACTTCTAAATCTTTAGAACCTCTAAGGCAAAGATCGATGCTCTAATTAAAGGTCTTCGTAAGAAGTATATAATTAAGATTATTACGTCTAACCTGTTTCTAGGCCTTTATCTAAAGGAAGACAAGGAGGGAAACCTTACTATCTCCTAGATATACTATACTAAAGAGAAGCTTTAGAAGCATAGCTTAGACTAGTGTAAGCTAATAAAGCATCTACTTAAGAAGCTTTACGAGCCTCTTACAACCCCCTATAACCGTTAGGACTACTAGCTATTTAACACTATAATTGGTGAAATATAGTTTCTAGCTAACTAAACCAGACTAGATATTAGCTATACCGTCAACCACCTTACTAGGTTCCTTTAGAATCCCGGACCTAAGTATGTTATAGCTGCTAAACATCTCTAGAGGTATATTGCTAGCATAGTTGACAAAGGACTTGTCTTTAGAAAGAAGAAAACTTTAGAATTTCGGGCATACTCTAACGCAGACTTTGCTAGTAACCCTTTATTATTAAGATCAATATTAGGCGCCCTTATACTTCTTAATAATACTCTAATTATATAGAGATTACAGCTCTAGAAGGAAGTCGTACTCTCTAGCACTAAAGCAGAGTATATTACTCTAATAGAAGCATATAGAGAAATCTACTAGCTCCGAAATTTGATAACTAAGCTTCAACTACTTACTAGGGAAGAAGTTAACAGGATTTATGTCTAGGTAGACAACTAGTTAGCTATTTCCCTTATTAAGGACTATATAAATTCTAAGAGGTCGAGGCACGTTTCCCTTAGGAACTACTACTATAGAGAACAGTATGCCTAGGGAAAGATTAGTGTCGAATTCGTTACTACTAACAAACAGCTAGCGGACTGTTTTACTAAGCCTAAATCTCCAAACAAAATTCTCTAATAATATAGCGTCTCTAGGACAAACTCCTAAGTTACTCCTTTAGAAAGAAAAATCTTATTTATAGGATTAGAAAACAAGCTTTATACACTTATTGAATTTTATTCTAATTTCTAGAAACAGCCTAGCTGCACTATACAGTCTAAGCTGCAAAATTTCTTTTATAACAACATTAAGACTAAGTAGGAAGAAATACCCTAGCCCTTAAGAGTTAGAAACTCTCTAATGCTACAAGGCTTTTACTAATCTAGACTGCCTAGCCTATTTCAAAATCGAAAATATACATTATAGCTCTCTATCTACTAGAAAAAAAACCGAATCTCCCTAATCAGCTACCTATCTTAGCATTACTGTCTTCGTAATTAGAGAAACCCCTCTAAGGACTACTAGAATCGCGAGTCGAGCTAGGACTAGTAGACAACCTAGAACCTAGCCTACGACTACGTCCCTAAGTAGTAGCCTAGGTATAAGCATTTGCCTGCTATAGCAGTAAATTTGCTACTGCCTAGGCGCCCTAAGGAGTACTCTAATCGATGCTAGACGGGACTAGCACGTATAGACGACGCTAATTAGTGCCTGCTCTACTCCCCGGATTGCGAGGCGGTAGAGGCGCTATAGGCGTCTAACGATTCGTATTAGAGCGTAGCCGAGAGACGTAACCTAATAAAAGAATTAGTGTTTTTGCTTTAAAAAAATGCATAAGACTAGATTCAACTTACTAGAGAACTCGCATTAACTATAATAATTTAAGCTAGTACAGTTAGTGCAAGCGCCCTTTAGGAAAGCGATATCCTAACCGTTAATTCGATAACTTAGAGTTATATACTCTTATTACTCTAAGTACGGACCCTTTAACTGCTTACAAGGACCGCACTAGCTATTACTAGTATACACGCGTCTAGTAGTAGCTATATATACAAGCGCGGTAGGCAAGTAGTTAACATTCGATTTTAAGCCTAAATTAAATGCCTTAGCCGCCTTACGCAGACGCGGAGGTACACTTAGAAACAGCCGAGCATTATCCTAGCTCGTAATAAAATGCCTAATATTAACGTTACGTAGCTAAGGCGGAGTCTACTCCGGACTAATATTAGTTAAGCACTAGATAATTCTCTAGAGAATCGCGATAGTTAACTGAACTTCCTTAAGGACTACGCCTAGTTAGCAAATTATTAGAAAAGGGGAAACTCTAATAGTAATACTTACTAGTCTCTATAAGCTAGAGCTTATTATAACGCGAAGGGTGCCGATTCTTGTTTAGATTATTACTACCGCCGCCGCTGCTACTACTACCTATACTACTCGCTATACTCTCTAGGCTAGGGTAAAGAATCATCGCTATAATAAAGTCTCGGCTAGCTATTAGACTTAAAAGGTCTTAGTAAGAATTTGAAAATCTAGGGGAGGCTACTAGTACTTAGGGGATTGCTAAAGAGTAGATTGTAAAAGTTCAAGTTGTCTAGTTAAGTTTAAGTGTCTCTTATAGGCGCCTACTAACCCTATAATTACGACTGAGGACATTACTCTAAAGCAAACCAATTAGTAAACAATGTAATATAAGCACGTATAAGTAGTATAGTATATAAAGCTGTATATAAAGTAGATATAGTCTAATATCTAAAGGCAGTTAGAAGATGAAGTGAAGCTCTAAGCCTAGATTTAGAGTGTCTAATCTAAATAGTATATTATCTCTGCCTAAGGGGGAGTGTTGTAGTTTAGTTAGGTAATATACTAGTTAGCTAATACTATTAGCTAACCTATGCCAAGAGGAAGGATATATAATAGGTATATTAACTGCAGTTTCTGTAGCTAGCTCCTAATCCTTCTTTGTATAGTTATATAGTTGTCAATCCGATAATTAGTTGCATCCTTAGCACGATTCACAACAGGATCGAGCCGGATGCTTGGCTTGTGTGCTTGGCATGTTCAAACTAGACCTCAATCATGCAGATCCCGTTGCGATTGGCTGGCAATTGTCCTGGTAAGGTCAGAATGGGTATATGCCGCCATACAGTTACAGTACATCGTGCGGCTGTGCGGAAACAGAGTTTTGGAACAGCGCACGCTGCTCTGCGGCGCGGTTGACATTTCGTACAAGGCTTGTTCAATGTCCCGGTCAGGTGTAAAAGAAGTTTTCCTCGCCAAACCGTCTTCTACAACCACGATCTACAGGTCACCATCCTTCCCAGCTCCATACGTGTAATCTCGCACCCACAGCTCGGCAATCTCGCATTAAAACTCAAGGATTCTGTTCAAGCATAGCACTCGAGACGGAGAGTCCATCACCAACGCACCACCCTCTCTGAAAACACCAAGACTGTCGAACCACAACAATGTCGTACGGTACTCTCAACTGCACCAATGGTGGCGGCATCGGCACCAATATCATCGCAAATCAGACCGGTTCTCGATACTGCGGTCTATTTTCAGACAGGACGGTAATTGAGCAATGCTGCGATGGCAGCGAAATCTTGTCAAGTTCCTGTGAGGTGTACTGCGCCTACACAGGTACAATTCGAAATTGGATCCAATGCGTATCAGGAAACTCTTCAGACTCGACACCACGCCCTGATGCCTTCTGCTTAAGCGGCACATCTTCGAACCTGACCGAATCAGTGAAAACATCTTTTGGCTTCCGCACCAAATCAGCGCCGAAGATCGGATGGGTGGTCCTAGGCTTGCTATTCTCGTCATTCTTAATCGGACCATGCTACGCAGCCAACGGTGACTGCAGTCTTCACGTCGATCACACCTTCCCGCGCCTCGGCAGTTCTAAAATCGTCTCCAATCATTTCGAATGTGTAAGCTCGGATGAAGGCTTCTGCGACTACTCACTCCCAATCTCTACGCCAAGGATGTCAAACAACAGATCTCTCACCACGGAAACGGCGTTCTACTCGGCCGCTGCACCCGAGTTCGATGGCATTTTCGAGAAAATCAGCAATGCTACGAATGGAAGGCAATTTCCTGCTCTCAGTCAATTGAATATTACGTATGAGTTTGCTGTGGGTGATGGCCAGAGTTTTAGCGTTGGGTGGACACCGTATCTGGTAAGTTGAATGCATGGCAAGATATTCTGAGCAAGGGTTATGCTGACTGGCACGCATAGTTCTGCGTGAATGGTACTTTGACCAACTGCGGCGATGTTCTGCCTGATGAGCCAGGATTGGGTGATGATATGATGGGATTCGAGGCTTGTGGACCGTTGTTCGTGGATGATGAGAACTCGTACACGAACCCGAACGCCACGATTAATGGAGTTTTGAACCCGATTTACACCGGTTAATTACTCGGGCAGTCGAGCTGGACAGCCTGGACCGATTGATAGCTCATATGTAAATGAAATCTTTTGTGCGGCTTTTTGCTCCCAAGGATCTATCTCAAAAGGTCCAGATACCGATAGCTCGGCAGTCTGAGCGATTGATGATGTTGATCTGGCTCACGTGTTTCTCCAAGCGACTTCCATTTTCTAGCATGATCATTCACTGAGAAAAAGGAATTGTGTGGTTGGAAATGGGTGCCTGAGAAACTAGTGGAACTAATCAGGCACCAGCGGAGATCGGGTTTAGCCCGAATAAAGTTCAAGGCGTCGGCATCGCGTGCGGGAGCTACGGTCATCAGAAGTAAACACAGACGTCGATGTTTCTTCCCAAACTCCTGCATTTCTTTCTATCTGCCATTTCGCGCATGGCGAATCGGTAGCCATGTCGAACTCAAGCCTCCCCGAGCCATCCACAGAACGCGTGACGCGATCATCGACCGCGCGCAATCCTCGAAGACGGCCGCGACAGAGCGACAACGACACCCTCAAAACCCACGCTCCCAGGCGGAAGCGCAGTAAGGTCACCGAAGACACATATGTGCCGCGGCTATCCACCGAGAATGGCTCCATCGCGCCTTCTCAGGAGTCAGACATCCTCGAGACGCCTCCGGATGGCATGAACGATGGCATGAACGGCTCTGCGAATGGAGTCTACTCGAATGGCTTCCACAGGCATGAGCGAGCCGGCAGCACCAGCACGCCACTGATGGACGGCGAGACATCGCTGGCAATCAGAGGTAGCAAGAAGGGTACTGTGAAGCGATCGCACCTGCGCGGCGATGGCGCAACAACTCTATGTCACAATGAAGTCTATACCGTCAAGATGCTCCCCAGTACGCCGAGAGAGCTCAAAAAGCCAGAAGCGGAATATAGAGGCAGCGTACAAGGCAACTACGCGCTTGCGGTCACGCAGAAGAAGGCGATAGTATGGGAATACACGTCACATACCGCCGCGAGCAATCCGCGCACCTTTGACATTCCCTTCCCCTCTCGATCTGGCGAACCTCTCCCATTCGGCGCCCTGGTGCCCACTGGTGTCAGCACCACAGACTACGGCCTCCTGCTCATATCCGCCACGAGCGGCAAAGTCATCTTCTATGAGTCGATCGATCGCGCTGCCTCGCTTGGCCTGTTTCACGACCGCAAGTCGGGTGTAGAAGGTACCATCCCGCTTTCCTCCTACGAGACCGTCGCCAGTCTGGTTCCTGCCGATCATGCAGGCTTTATTGCTGTATTGAGCTCTGGCAAGCTTGTGCATTTGACTCTCCGCGATGCGCAAGGAAAGCCTAGAATAGCGAATCAGCAGCTGAAGATCACTGAAGCTGGATCGGGAGGCGTCTTTGGAAGCTTTACGGGATTCCTCAAATCTACGCACAGGCGAGATCTCACGGCAGTACATACAAGACCTTCGAGGATTCGAGGCCGCATGCAAGCCATTGGTTTGACAGAACGTGCTGAGGTACTGCTCTGGGATCTTGATTGGTCTGGACATTCCGAATTCAAGGCAAGCATCGATTTTCGAGAAGTGCTCGTCAATGGTTTGAAGGATATTGTGCCTCCAGAGCTGCATGGCCAAGCTGAGCAGGCAGTCGCGCTGGACTTTGCAATCAGCGCAAAGCCCACTTCTAGTCTGGCGCTGGCAAACAATGACGATTCCGACCCTCCTCTTTTCCTGCTTATTCTGGCTCGAATTGGCAATGTTGGAATGCACAGCTTCTCGTTGGTCGAATTGTCACTACCTGGCGAAGGCTTAGCAGAAGTCGAGCGCATCTGTCGGATTGAGACCTACAGCACTCCAAGCTCCTCAGATAGCAAGCCGCGACTCGTCATTCCCGCCCCAGGTCACACAGCGTTTGTCACGTTCGAAGATGCGACTACACTCATGGGCACCCAGACCATTGTGCCCAACACTCCTGAAGCACAGCTACATGCATCGTATGTAGTGCCAGACGCTTTCGAGGAGACCATTGCGCTGCGATCGGGCAAGAGCTTGACAATTCGAGAAGTCTATGAGGAGCATTCTAAAGGTGGTCAGGCTAGTATGGTTTCCTTCATTCAGGGCGCGGGTCTGGTACGCATTACTACAGCCGACACTACCAAACTGGACCAATTCACGAGAATCTCCATCAAGAGCAAAATCGAACAGGCCGTGTTTTATGGCGCATTGCAGCCGGACAACATCATTGATTTCGCCAAGCAGGACGAGTCTGGATATGATCTGGGTGATGTGCAAACCTCTGCCCTGGCAATCAGCGACCAGATCTTGCGTGCAGATACAATATTCACGCATTTCCTTCCACCTTCGCCGCCATCAATGCCACATCACCTTGCCACTAAAGCCAAAGCTTTGCAGGCACTGGCGACGCACGTACGAACGGCTCATCCGGCGATGTCGAGAGATACAATGTGGCGGATGCTGTCTGACGCCGAGCGCATCGCGGCTGGACAGCAACTCTGGATTGCGTTCCAAGAACATATCGAGTTAGTCAGCCAAGTGAAGCGAAGGTCGACGCTGCTGGACGAGCTATGCTCTTGGTTCGACGAGGCTGCGGAAGCTTTTGCGCAGCGGAAGGATCTAGCAAACGAAGACAGCGTGAGAAAATTCTTCATTGGCGGACTTCACCGGCTAGAAGCGCTCCTCCAACATGTGAGGGTGTTCTTGAAGGACGAATTGGAGGAAACCGCGCGCGACCCGGCCGACTCGATGAAGCTCGTATTCCAAGCGAACGAAATATGCCTGCTGTCGCTCCAAACAGCATTCAAGTTTCGTGCAGACAATTGCTCTACTTATGGCATCCCACCAGACCTCATTGAAGACGGCATTCTCATTGCTCTGGAGGAATATGCGGGCGTCCAGCAGTTCTGGACGTCTCCTTCTTGGTTCGTTCGCAACACTGTCGAGATTGCCAACCTATCCGGAGAGATCAACAAGAAGCTCTATGTCCCGGAAAATCTGGACGTTGACACCGAGCGCCTGGCACGTGAAGTGGCCGATCTCAATCCTAAACTGCTTGAAATATGGTGCACTCAATATCAAGAAGACATATACTGGCACTTGGAACACTCCGATCCCAGGTATCGAGAAACTGGCAAGAAGCTTGAGTTAGAGTTCGAAGACGATCGTTACAAGCAACTTCGTAAGCTGGCGGACGTCGGGCAAGCCGCTGCTGGAATGCAGCTGGCGGAGAAATATCGAGACATGAACACCCTCACTGATATGGTCATTGCGGAAGATCAATATCTCGAAGAGATGATGCACGATCGAAAAATCGATCGATCTGGAATTCCGGTCCTGAAGAAAGAATTGCAATCCAAAATCCGGCAATACTTCAATCGATATGGCGCAGAGTGGTCTGAGGTCTTCTTCGACAGGCTGTTTTCCGACGCATCTTGCGGATCGAAGCTGGCGAGAGCACAGATTGAGTGGAAGCAGGCGCTTACGGAATACCTTAGAGCAAAGCCTTCTCGCGCGAAGCTGTGCTGGATCAACGATGTTACGGAGAGCCATGATTTCGCGCATGCGGCAACAGTTCTGCGACAGGCTGCGGAAGAGCAGGAGACCAAGCTGTGGTCGAAGAAGGTCGAGCTCTCCATGTCTAAGCTCGCCTTACTAGCCGCCGAGGAGGCTGAGGGCCCAACGGCAATCAGGAGGTTGTCACGTGGTGCTCAAGAGAAAGCTCGCACAACACAAGACGACTTGACTGTTGTTCAAGTCCAGGAAGAGCTCTATGCGCACATTCGACCCGATATTATGGCTTCGATTGATCGCGAGGCTGAACTCCAGATTTGTGTTCAGAACTACGGCAATAAAGTCAATGAGTTTCCCGCGTTACGTCGACTTCTGGAACTTGGCCTTGACCTTGTTCTCGACAACATTGCACTTTCCGTGGATCAGCTGATCGACATTCTCACGCTCATGGATGTGAACGTCAACGACACAGCCGAGGGTAATTTCCGCGGTTCGGAGTTCTTCCAAGCACTCAGGGCTCTCAATGCTGCAGCATCCTCACTTCCCTCTACACGCTTCGAGATGCTTCTCCAAACCATTTGGAAGCGAGCCTACCTCTACGACAACTGGAACAAAATGAAGCTCTCATCCTCGAATATTTCAGACGACGAACGTCAATCCAAACTCCGTCAAAGCAACATCTGGCAAACGCTCCGCTACTTCTTGGAATCCGAGCTCAACACCGAAGAAGCGCACGTTCGTTTCGTGTGGCCCAGCGAATGTCTCGGTTCAGGATGCGCGGAGGCGGATTGGGATCATCGATTCTCCGACCCGGAAATCCTTGACCCTCTCATCGCCGACTCACGAAGACAAGACGACATCCTGCAAGGTTATGTTACCGATCGTTCGCTCGATGCAGTTGTCGAGGGCATTGTGGCGGACGTCAAGGTGCTGTTGAAAGAAATCTCGGAGGAGCGGAAAGCTATGGCTGAACAAGCTACGCATTTGATGGAAGGTGATGATCATGTCAATGGGGATTTTCATTTGAACGGAGAGCTTGAGGGGCTGAGGCAAGAGAATTTGGAGGTTGGCGATGAGAGTGGGGTTGAGGAGGACGAGGGAGAGGGAGAGGGAGAGGAAAACGGTGGAGATGTTGAGATGATGGAGGTGGAGGAGTAGATGTGTTTTGATACCATAGATTATGACTGACACAGACAGGCAATAGATTTGACCTGAGAGAATGTGAGAATGTGTATGATCAGCGGCATTTTCCTGTGCCATACATACATACACATGAGTCCAAGGCTGAGAATGTGTCCAACTCTGCTGGTGCTCTTCCGAACGCCAAGAAAAACGCTGGTGCACGTTCCGTCAGTTCCAGGTCGCTGAACCCTGCCCTGCGAGGACTTGTAAAAACATCTCAGAACCCTCCCAAGGTTGGCAAGGCTGAGATGGGGAAAGCTTGAGATTCAACTCCGGCGTATGGCTACATTTGCCGACCACTCCAGAATTGTTTTTGTTGCTCGATGAAGGTGCGCATTATTATGTGCAATCTTTTCGAATTAAAATTAACCTCATACTAAAACTATGCTATCTATGTATTAATAATGCCTTTTCATCATCCTCATCATCCTCATCATCCATCCAACCATCGCTATGCAAAAAAAAAAAAAAAAAAAAAAAAGATACAAAATTTCACATTGACACTTCCACTTTCCACTCTCACCCCCATCCATCTATGGCAAGTTCTGAGGAGTGTAGCTCTGATCCGGCTTGACAACCTGTCCGCTGACAAGCTGCTTGTCAGTATAAGCCGGGTAAATAATCTGCTTTCCCTTGACGACAGCCAGAGTCTGGAATCCTTTTCCCTCGCCGAATTGCCCGCTCCAGTTGCTGCTGATGGTGAACGCTCCGCACTTGACGTTGTTGTAGGAGGCGCGAGTCGCGGGGTTGCCGTTGACTTGGTAGGTGCAGGCTGTTGCTGCCGAGCCGTCGTTCGTGTTGATCTGGTAGTCGTACGTGCAGACGCCGCCGCCGCAGGTGCGTTTGAAGTTTTGCAACGTCCAGCTCGAGCCGGTGGACATCATGGATTTTTCGCCGGCTGGGGTTGGGGCTGCGAGGGAAGAGCCGGCTGTGGCGAGGAGGGCGATGATGGTGGTGAACTGCATTTTGATGGGTGGGTTTGGTTGCTGTATGGAAGAAGAGTGGTGTTGTTGATTTGTGTTGTCGAGATTATTGTTGTTGTTGTTGTAGAATGTTTTGCTTGCTGGGTTTGTGTGTCGAATGATGTCTGTTGGCTGGTTGGGAGACGAGTCTTTATAGCATGTTGTTCAGGATGGCATCTTGCTCGCATGTGCAAGGTACGCTCTGGGTTACGAGCCAAGATCATTGAGCCGCTCTATTCTGAGCAGCAGCCTCATGGTCACTTGCTGAATGGAGACAGAGATACCTCTTTCGGGTCATGGATGCGAGCTACTTCGAAGCGCTATGACGCGAGGCCTGGACACCAGTCTCAAGTCCGTGCTATGTGAGTAGGCCAAGAAGATGCTAGGGTCGTATTCCACTCGGCGTCAGCGAAGACACAGCCCAGCTGACTTTCGGTAACAATATTGATTTTACAGTAGTGGCGGATCCGAGATTGAACACGTGCAGCGCTTCTTAGATCTGGTACTTGCTGCGTGGAAGAATGCTTCACATGCTACGGCGTAGTGTATTGGAAAATGATCCGATCGTGAAATTTTGCCTCGTCGAAAGGCAGATGCAGATGGAAGCGGTGGCCAGCTCGGAAAGAAGCGCTGCTACCGGGTTTCTCGGGTTACGTCAGAATGCCAAGACCTCGTACTTTCCAAGACGTATTTTGAATCTATACCCTCTTATCAGTCTTTGCTTCTAGGCTAGATAGCACAATACAGTGCAACTGCGATAGATCTTATTATAGCCTATATAGACGCCTAATCGTCGAGATACGAATCTTATAATCCCACTTCTCCTGAAGTTCGGATTGCGACAAAAGTCTTAGCATTTCGAGAAACGAACCTATCCCTAAAAGAAAATCTATAGAACGTTCTAAAAATCCGCCAAGCATAGGAATATATCCCACATATCCTATATATAACCCATCTATCTTCGAAAACAGCATTCTAGCAGCGTATCGCTACGCCATCGAGACATTTTATCGCAGAGCTCGAGAAATATTATAAGGTCTTGGCATTCTCACGTGACCCGAGAAACCCAGTAGCGCCTTGGCATCTAAGAATAGATTGCGCTAACTCACGCCAAAGCTTCTGATGAATGGCGACGATGTTACCTCACACATCCTTCTCCTTCTACACGAGGTACATTTCACGAGATCAATATTGACTGTGCAACCATCACGAACGCCCATCGCTAATGCCGGTCTTCCCTACACACCGCCGACACGATGATGGGGCGGTGAGATTATTCAGAAGGAGCAAGGAATTGTCCGGAACGAATCTAGATGGCTGAAGTGATCTCATAATCTGGTGGCATGTGCGGTGCTGGCCAAGAGCTCGATTCAAGGTTACGTCAAAGGGTGAAGGCTGACGGGCTCCGAGATAATTCGTAGTGATCCAAGCCGTGCTGAAAAGCCGGGCTCCTTTTGAAAGAGGGAACGATTCTCAAATCCCCACATCTTGTGCTCCACGGGAAGCCCAACGCCTGAGGCCCGATTGAAACATCCCGTTGATCTGCGGAGGATTACGAAGGGAAGAGGAAGACTTGAAGCTTCACTGCGAATGAGCATAGCTTAGCCTTCTCAAGGAGGGAGGTCCGTCTTGAATTGTATAGTTCTCAGCGCAGAATTACGGCGGCGATCACTGAGATACTTTGAGTGTTTGTTTCATAAACAGGTGGCCGTGGAGCGTCGAGTACGAAACCAAGTATTATTTTACCCGCGGAAAGATGTTTTTTTTTTCTTTCAGATAGAGATTTCAGCGCGCTGCACAATTGAAGAAATTTCCGGAATGGGAGCGTGATCTATTCAGGCAGGCAGTGTCTTGCGCAACCACCCGTCTTCCCATCCAATCTCCCTTTGCATGAAGGAAGCGAAAGGAAGGAATAGAATTTCATAATTCTAACAGTCACCTCGGAATCGTACTAGAAAGCACGTCATTCCAATGCGATGACAATCGTAGTACTCCGCGTCTCAATCATTCATTAATCGCTTTCCCCTTTCTTCTCTTGTAGTAAGAAACAACCACCAGCTCAGAGTAAGCTGATCAATTCATCCTGCTATGCAAAGTGCATCAGTAAAGTACTCAGTCATCATCAAAGAATTAAGAAACTATAAACGAAAGGATCATTCTCTCGCGTCGCGACACGCAACAACAAGGGTCGCGGATTATTGTCGTATATGCATGTGTTGTGTTGCTCTTCACTTATCGTTATATACAAGTACATCGTTCGTGTTTCGCGTTCGCGTTCGCATATCTCGTCACCCACCATCGTGGTATAGTAAAAAAACAAGACACGGCAAAGACTGCCGAATGGGGTTTATTATGTACGTGTGTCGTGTCCTCCCTGACATTTAACAGTCCTTCCTTCCTATTGAGGTAGGCACCGAGGAGACGGGCGGTCCTGCAGACCTGCGTCTGCATATCTGTTGTGTCACATTCCACACACCGACCGGGCCGTCGGTCGACAGCACCCAATGTCGACGACACTCGTGGGCCGCAATAGTTGGAAGGTCTTGAGGTTGTGTTGGCAATCGGACGCGAGTCGCGGTGTTCGCGCCGCTGCCCGAGCTTCAGGATAGTATGCCGTTCCCAGCTTCATGTCATTCTTCAAGTAATAGCTCGTTGTTTTGAAGCTTCCTCAGCATTTTCTCGTTCTGCTCTTGGATGTCCGGGTCATCGTGTCTGTCAGCTTTTGGACCAGACTCAATCTTGCGTCGTACTGGCTTTGCGGGATTGCCGGCTACAACGGTGTACGGCTTCACGTCCTGTCAGAAGCATTAGTGGACGCCATGAGAACGTATAGAACGACTCAAAACTCACTCTAGTGACCACAGACCCAGCACCAACGACCGCTCCCTTTCCGATCGTTCGGAACGGCAAGATGATACAGTCCGCGCCGATGAATACATCTTCCTCAACCTTGATCGGGCCTGCCATGAAGTCGCCTCGTAGGCCACTTCGCTGTTCCGCGTCAATGCTTGCCGTCATACAGCAGAACCTCACATTAGGCCCGATAATTGTTCTATTGCCGATGATAATTTTGCTCGCATCTTGAAAGTAGCAGTACTTCTGTACCAAGACATCATTCCCCAAGATGATGTTGTATCCATAGTCGCAGTTAAAAGGGTTTTCCACAATACTGTGATGCCCACTTTGCCCTTTGGGACCATCCCAAACTTTGTGCTGGCTGTGAGGCCGATGCGACGGGTCCTGGATGGCTTTGAACTTGCGCTCGATTTCCTCTGGTTGAGAAGCCCTACTGACAACACATGAATCATTCCAGGACTCGATTGCCTGCCTGCAAGATTGACGATCTTCGATCAAGGTCTTATCCGCAAACGGTTTGAACTTGTGTCCTGAAATCATGTTCATTCGAGCCGTGTAACTCGTTCCCTGCGGCAAATCTATGCCTACGGGAAGCATCGCTTGGCCATGACGTGATCGACCGCTGCCAGAGCCAGACGAAACACTTTCGTGGGTAGTGATGACAGTGGCAGCCGAAGTTCGTGGTCGAGCCCAGCTGGCCGACGGTGGGTGAAGATGAGGTAGCCATGGATCGGCAGCAGCAGCAGCAGGAGGAGGAGGAGGAGGAGGCAGAGGAGCGAACGGAGGAGGCGGTGGAGGTGGTGCACCAGAGTAGTCAGTAGGCGGTAATCTTTGATGAAGAATCGAATGAGGTGGATGTTCGGCACCAGAGTGCTGCCAACGGGGAGGATTCGAAGGCCACACTTCGCGCTCATGAGGTGGTCGTGAATCTATTGGTGGTATCGGTGCGCCATAGCGATGAGGCAGCGGCTCCTGAGCGTCCGGTCTGGGCAGCGCGAAGCGTTCGCCAGGGTAGGGAGGCAGTGACCTCGGATGCGCTTCATGGTAATGGCCATCGAAGAAAGCCGGGTGTGCGTGAGTGGTCTCGTATTGCTGCTTCGCTTGGAGGGGCACGACAGCTCTTCCTGCAGTTGGCTTGGTGCCTCCAGGTGGCTTTGGCCCATAGCCGCCGCACTGGAAAGAACCACGCATGCAGTTGTTGCATGTGGGCTTGCTCTCGTCACACTTCTTCTTGCGCGCGCGGCATGTGTGACAGCCGGTCTTGGTGCGATTACTGAAGTTGCGCTTGCGTCCCTTCTTGAGATCATTGTCGCCGTTCTGGGCCTGCTCACCGGCATGAGGTTGTGATTCCTGTCCGTCGTCCTGCTCGTCTGGAGGCGAATCGCTCCTGCGTGCTGCATGCCCGGAGCCGAACTGCTGCTGGACTGACTGCGCCAAAGCAGCAGCGACTTCTGGTCGAGGCCTCGGTGGAGGCGTTCCAGCTGTGAGTCTGTGGACAGGCGATGGTTCTCGGACGTAGTTACCAGTTTGTGGATCTCCAAGACCTTCCTGATCATGATCATCCGAGTAGGTCGGCCCTGGCGATGGCATGCCACCATTATGGGTGGTGACTCGTCGTTTCGGCGACTGAGGAGTGGCTCCAAACGGCGCGCCATCTCGGACGTCTTCTCTGGGATGGACACGAGGGGATTCTGCTCGCTTGCGCTTGTTTGTCTCGGGGCTGCCCAGCGGCCGCTCGGCATTCTGTTCTGTCGAAGGCCGCGTTTCCGTTGGACGCCAACCGTGAGACTGATAAGGCGCCGGCGGATGCGACTGTTCCGAAATGCCGTTACTTCGATATTCGACCGGTGGCAATGTTATTGGGCCCGGGCGTGCCGCAGACTGTTCGGGCCGAAAAGAGGTGTTGTTTCGATGGAGATCGCCATTCACAGCGGTGAAGGCACTCGCAGCAGGCTCCGTAAATGGCTTTGGCAGACCAGACGGTCGACCTCCGTTCAAAGTCGACCCATTCAGAACGCTGGTCTCTTCTCGCATTGGGGAATCAGCTCGCACGTCCACTGCTCCCACTCGATCGGGCCGGGTCAAGCGGGTCTGCAGCATCGAACATGAGCAATGGCAGCGTCCACGGGGTGTGCGATGTGGTTGTTGGCCGTCTCGGCCGCGCACGTCGGTTCGGCAGGTGTCAATATCGGACGGGGTGCTGCAATGCAAACAAATGCTTGCCTTGTTCCACGGTCGTGCGTGAGAGGCGCGCTTAATGTCGGCTATTAAACGCAACCAGTGACTTCACCCAGTTGTCCGTGCAAGATGCTGCTTCATGGACGATGTGCGGCCGTGGCCTGCGTTGCTCAGCGGTATGGCGGGAGCGAGTGGAGGCCAATGGTGTCGCGGGGAGTCAGGCAGAAGCAATGGCAATGGCAATGGCAGAAGCAATGGCAATGGCAATGGCAATGCTGGACGCTGCTGCAGCCCGCCAAATTCCGCCGGTCAATCCTGGGCGACGACGTGAGCGCGTGGGGAGGGCAAGGGCAGGGCAGGGCAGGCAAGGCTGGCCGACGCAAGGAGCGAGCACAGCAGAAGGCACGGCGGAGAACGGGCGAGGGCCAAGAATGCGGGGAGTCATATGGATGGCTGAACAGGACCTCTACCCACTGGCGACCGAGACTGCTATAGTAGTGCGAGCTTCGCTCGCAATGAATTCTCAGCCTTAGTCGCGCTCTTGCAAAGGCACGTGCTGCTATAATAAGATATTCCTACCAAATCTCCGTGCTTTGGTCCTGCCTCCAACTACAAAGCCCATGCTGTGACACCCCAATCACTAAACCTGATTCCAGCCTTCATGTATTCGATCACCAAGTACTTTCTCGATGGCGAGTTCCTATCTCTGCTACGCTGACACACGTTATGATGTGCTTCTACAGAGCGACTGAGGCCGCAGACGCTTGGGTCGTGTCGCTTTGACCATCCATGGTGAAGGGAGGTGCCCGCAATTGAGACGAAACTATCGCCAGCGACTCCTCTCACAGCAGGCCCTACCGTTAGCATGTCCCCTTTTGGCCACTTTGATCCGAAAGAAGCATCAAAGGTCCTGTTTCGTGATAGACACCGGTCTTTGATCGAGTCTACAACGACTGAAACGTTTACTTCTTTCGGGCACACGGATGATTACTGCCGCGTGAGCGAGATAACAGCAAACTGGTCAGATAATCTCGACAGAATTTGAAAATCATTCCTGTACAACGCCGAATTTGCGGAAAGCTCGCCCAGTCGCTCGCATGTGGGTTGCAGACAGGAATTGACCGCCGAGAGATCCGCCGAGGCAGGCCATTTTGTCCCAATAACGGCCCATACAGCCAACATATTCCCGAATTGTCTAGCTAGCGTCAGCACGCCCATCTAGGGTAGACCTAGGATGGTCTACTTACGCGTGAACAATACTGTATGCATTGGGTAACTTATACCTCTGCGCATGGTTCAAGTATCGAATCGACTGGAACCCAGCCCAGAGACACGCCGTCACAGCGTCCTGCACCATCAGTTTGAAGGCCACTGTGCCCTCCAGATCGCAGTGTGCCTGGTCCAAATTGTGTAACACGTGGTCCAAGAAGGGGCGTCGAACGAGGTGGCATGCTTTCCAGTACTCACACCTGAGCCTTAGCGAGAGAATGTCATCCGGTGCACTGTCATCGTTGTCCCAGCGCAACGACGGATCCAGGGCCCTTCTCCATGAATTGAGGCTTTCTTGGTAAGGTTGGAGGCGTTGAATGAGATCGGTAAAGCTGTCAGAAGCGCTGACTGGGAAAAGTTCCGAGCACAGGCGATGCAACATGTCGCACAGCATGATGTAAGAGATGTGGTGAAGTTGGACATATCTCTCGTCAGGGTCTTTCCACAGGTTAGAGTCGTAAGGTAGAGGAACCCGCGGAAGGAGCTCAAGCGTAGTGTTTGTTGGCAGGTCTAAATCGGCTGCGACGGAATCCCACATCAAATAGGCTGTCCATGCTGCCAGTACGACCTCTTGCTGTCGCGGACTCGTTATAATAGGTTTCTGGGTCTCCTCGCGGAAGTGCTCTCTACGGAGCAGATGCAAGATGCAGCGACTTGCCTTATCAATCCAGCTCATTGCAGTTTCTGGCTTAGCGAGACGCCAGTGGTATAGAGCCACTAGGAGAAACATTTGCGCATGCGTACGAGTGTCGCCGTCAAGTTGATCACCAACAATGGAGATAGCGATATCGTAGTAGCCTTTGGCGACTGCCCCTTTGTCCGAGACATCGATCGAAATTGCTCCAAGGGCGATGGCCAAGCAAACAATGGCATTCTCCGGCGATCGCTCCAGGAGACCTTCGCTGGGGAAATAGCCCTTAAGTTGGTTTTTAAGCCAATTCTTGTTGATAAAAGGGTTGAGAAGATAGTCATTCTCCAAGTAGCTTGTCAATAAATGGCCTGCAGTCGCAGGATCACGATGCCTGAGGACCGGAGGCATGTAGCACGGCTGAACCGGTGATGCTGGACCAGACCTTTGATCAACATTGACCTGGGCTGCTGCAAAGATTCTTCTGACCTCATGCCACGATAGTACGAGGTTGTGTAGACCTCTGAGTGGAGATTTTGGTCCAGTTGAGCAGAAGCTCGTGTAATCTTTGCTCCGTTGCAATCCTGGGTGCCTTGCTATAGACGCTGCATCGCCCTCGAGCGTCGCTATATCGCTCTGGAATGAAGCTATGCGTTTGCTCGCTTTCTCATGTAGTTTTTCCCAGTTCTGGACCACTTCAAGCGCTTTATCTTGTAGCTCAATACTTCTGAGCCTTCTTGTTCGGCCTCTTGTTCGATGGCAAGGCTGACCTATGCGTTCGCACCGGCTGCATGGTGTGAAATCAGAACACTTCGTTCTCAGCTCCTTACACGGGTCGCATGCCTATCTCCATCAGCCTAGGATCGATTGCTGCGCCTGTGGACTCACTTGTGCTGCCCGAGATTCTTTGGCACTGGCGGCTCGCATCTCTAGCTTCGAGAATGAATGGAAGAGGTCGCGGAACCATTCAGATGTGAGCAGTCCGCCAATTGTCCGTATGCGTCCAGGGGAGCCTCGGAGACTGTCAAAAGTCATCGCTATTCCGAGCATTGCACAAAGTGGGTATCCCACGCTACGCGATCGTGTGGTCAAGCACGATCTGGGCCGTCTCAGCAGGTACCGCTGAGTCACCAGGTCTGCAAATATTGATTTTCTGGTGCTGGTAGGCGGACGGGCACTTCAACCCTGATGCTTTCGCTCGACCTGTGCATGTAGGATCAGGTATCCAACGAGAGGCAGGAGCGTAGGCCTCTGCAGCATCCTTGCCACGTCACAGAGGCGACGGAAGGCGCACTGTCCGAAGTCTCTGCTGAGACCCTACACCGGGTCTCTACGACGCCTGGTCCAATCGCAAACAATTATCACTCGCCCACCGCGCCATGCCAAACGTTGGAATCGCGCTTCTGCAAGTATCCCAGCTATGTCACACATATTCAAAGTCAACATATGGAGTGGGTAGCACTTTGAGGCCCCTGCTCGGATCGACTCTGTCGTGCAAGAGGCACGGTCGTCCACTTCGTCCAGATGCCAGTAGCATGCCACGTCGGATGAAGAATGAAGGGCAGAGACTTGGCAAGCAACTGTGGGAGAGTCCAGCTTCCCTCGGCCGCTCACAGCTCCTGTCAAACTCCACAGGAAACACACCAGGTAAGACCCCAAATCATGATCCGGCGCCCCAATAATGACGCTAGAGTGCGTAGGCCATGCCCGAGCAGTCCTTCACAGGCGTATTCGAGATTGGGGTTCAGTCCAGCTTGCGAAGCATTCCAAGGCTGAAATTGGACTTCACCCAAGGGCCTGGGCTGCAGTTGCAATACACTTGCACATTCAACTACACTGGCGATACCCCATCAGAGCACATCCCCTCCAGAAGGACGAGTGCCGCCATCCTAGCACTCGTGCAGTCACTCAATGACTCGCCAACCGATCAGGCAAGGAAAATATGCAAGAAAGTGGTAGACGGCGTCACGGTGGGCCGCGCAAGCTTCGAGCGACTCACAGAAGGCGAGAAGTCGAACTGGAGACTCCAGATCGCACAGCTCCAGAAAGCAAATACCAGCGAGCGACTCGATTATCGTCCCGAGGTCCAATGGATGGGAGTGCTTTGGGATGCTTGTCGACCAGACATCAGAGGCAAGTTGAAAAAGAACATCGCCTTTCGTATTCGACTATTCAAACAGTTGATGCTTCGCTTGATTGGGAGGAGCCCAAGCATAGCTGTCTATATGGCTGGTAAGAAAGTTTCCCTACAGCGAGGGACTGACTGATCCGTGTCTAGCATGTCCTTCCAAATTGTTGCCTTCGCAGTTGTCCCAATGCAAGACATCGGATATCGAGAGTGCTGCAAAGCTCGCAGTGGAATGTCGCTCGACCATAGTCTGGCCGACCTGAGTGAATACTGTATAGACGTCGTAACGTACGTATTGTAACACGTCTACTCCAGGCATTGCATGACTGACTAGAGCAGAGCGCCTATGGCGGATGGAATGCAAGCCCTTCAGTCCGCTGGCGCAAGTGCTGAAGGGACCAGAGTTAGTGAGATGGCTTTGTCGGGCGTGAAGTATCTCGGAAGCCCAATAGACTTGGTCCAGACATATTTGATTTCGAGGCGTCCAGCGTTCGGAAACGACAGGCGTCAAAGGAAACTGCCGATACACCAGGCTTCAGTCTGGCGATATTGCGGCCTTGTTGCTGAGCTCGAGAGTCAGATACTCACTTTGCGGCAAGGATATCAGACGGCTCCTTACCTGACGCACGATGGTCATGATTTCTACGACCGCTGGAGTGGGCTGGAAGTGATCGCAAAGCTCTCGAGTGGACGTTGGTGCTGAGGCAGCAAGCTCTCTTGCGGCTCTCGCGCACAGCTCGTGTGCAACAGCCTCTGGAATGATGCTGAAAGCTAGAAAGTTCTGCGACATTATGTACACGGTTTTTGTGCGAATTGTTCCTTTGTGCCGGTGATGCCCTCGCTTGTTGTCCACGAAATATCACGTGATGTGCGGGAATACCCATTTCAACTCCAAGAAAAAGAACTTGCCTACGCAGTATCTGTCTACGGCCCTTGCTTTTGATTGACTTGCAAGGACAGTTCTCCCACCGCTAGACACATGCCCTTAACTACGCTTTGGAGTATATCCGGCTGACACGATAGAAGTCGCAAGTCTTCGACAAATTGCTTGCAGACCCATATCATGAACCTTACTGCCTTTTCCCTCGGTATTCTCACATCGTACGCCAGGCAGAAATTCCACAAATTCGTGTCGACGATCTTTCCAGCCTCTACCCAGTGCCCGCTCTTGATGTGCAACACGGCAAGGTCAAGAAGTGCGCATTCGAAATCCAGGAACGCCTGAGGCGGCAAATCTAACAGATGCTCTTGATGAAATTGGTATGCTCGGGCCAAGGTATTATTAGCTATCAGGCTTACACGCTCACTGTCTGGTCGCTCTGTACGCAGCCGATGAACCACCCAGGCAATGAGGCTGTCTGCAGCTTCCAAGGCTGCCAAGCGCGTCCCTGGCAGGTCGTTAATCCCGGGTTCGGTGGACTGAAAAGCGTCTCTCGAAGATTGCCATGACACGGTATCGAGCGCATCCTCCTGAATGCTGAATGCTACTCGGACATTTGCGAGGTCTGCAACAGAGAGATAGCTGAGACACTCTTGAAATATCTCTGTAGGTATGTTGCTTGGAGTGCTGCAATGTGGCTTTTTAGGTCCCATGATGACAACCTTGACATGGCGTTCTACCCAGAGTGGAACGGCTAGCGAGCAACGACTGCATATTTATGAGCTCGGCGGAACCTTCTCGAGCGAAAACGTCCCAAGCTATGCCTGAATCAACGGATGACTGCTGTTTTCGAACAACCATTAAACATGAGGTGCTCCGCAGACCATGCGGTGTATGCTTACATGGATCACTTTTGATCGAGCCGTGATTGGTCGTTCAGAAAAATCAGAGCCCGCGATTCGTTGCCGAGGACCTTGCAAAGCCAACCCTCTTGACTGGCCCATCATCGTCGATTCGTCGGCAATCAGTCTGCTCGCTATAGTCTGGTCGCCATGGACTTAGATTCACAAAGCACGATTGTGATGGTGAACTGAATGAATGACTATGATCGAGCGGATAGACTAGTTATTTACAGAGGCATGTTGTCCTGTTCCCACTTAGTAACGGCATCAGCAGCAGTTACCTCCAAGTTTTCGGCAGGTTCCCAGGTATCTTCCCAGCGGACTTTGTAGAAAGTCTTCCCATCCCACATATGGCGGTCGACGATTCGATCCACCTCCCAGAACGGTACTTTGGGACAGTTTAGAGCGCACTGCAGGGAATGAGTGAGTTGCTGGAGCCTAGCAGATGAGACTGTTGTATCGGTCTGTGATTGCTTCCGTACACGTGGACGACGTCGGCGGTCCTGCAAAACTTTTTAGACTGCGCTTATAGGACTCACACTACGGGTCCAACATACCTGCCAAGAGCTCAACGACGGCCTTGCAGCTCGCACTCGGCCCAAAGGGTGCGCGACGCTTGAGGTGCTGGCAGTCTCTTCGTAGTGCACAGGCGCAGGCTGTGAGAGTGCACCTGTGGTCTCCGCAGCTGAAGGTGTGCGCACAAGCGACAACGCTTCTGGAGACACACAAGCGTGCTGCGCGGCCTCGCGCGAGGGGTTAGGCGTTTCGAAAGGGCCGAGAGGTGGAAGGTCCGCAGTCTGCAGAGAGACGAAAAGTTCTTCCTGATTCTGAGGCAAGGAGATCGGCTGCAGGCGTGCAGGAAGCCCACGCTCTGGGCCATTGTAGAAACGAATATTGTCCATCCTAAGTGAGAGACAGTGACACAGGTAGTAGCGTTGCGCGACCACGAGGGGAGAGGTACGGCGCCTTATTTGTATGTTGCCAGAAGTGTCCGGGCTGTCGAAATTATACAACTGCCGTTATCGTCACTCCACAGGCATAGAAATGCCGCCGTCGCCCGGCTACCAACTTTCCACCATCCTCTTGCCTGTTATAGACAGCTTCAGCCTCCATCTGCCCGGCTCCGCCTGGGTGACGGGGACCTTGGGATGAAGTCAAGGAATGCAAATCAAACCACCCGAGGAGCCTGCTCAGCTCAGAGGCCCAGGACCTCGTCTGCTAGCCAGGGACTGAGGGCATGTTCGCATAGCTGTGCCACGCAGCGACTATGCAGTACGATGGGTTTGCGCGCCGCACTTGCGCAGCGACGAAGCCAGCAGGCGCGTGATCGAAGGAGCGTGAGCACAGAGCTGGTCGCAAGCGAGGCGAGGCATGGTCTAGATTTGTCGATGCTGGCCGTGACTGTGAGCGGGAGCCTAGCGCGATTGGTCGTCGAGATATGGGCGACAGAGTAGAGAACCATGTGGACGTTGAAAGGAAGAAAGGAGCGTAAATACTAAGGAAGTGGGCGGAAGGCCGGGAGTTATATTAGATCCCCACGCCGGGCAGTCGCGCTCCGGGCTCGAATAGGCAAGTCGCTAGCCCGATGTTTCGATAATCGCGACTACCGTTTAACGAAATATAGATTTTCTAAAAGGAAAATTACGTAAAAACTATGCTAAAATTTTAAAATCGGCTATAGTAACGACCTAGATAGCTATCTTCTATATACTAGGTATAGTTTTCTATTTACGAGTTTATATTCTACTATTTTCTAGTAAAAACTTTCTATTCTAATTAAAAAATCGTATACAGACTAAAACGATAAAGATCTTTTTCTAAAATATATCGCCGTATATATAATAGCTTAGGCGAAACTCGGGAATTAGCTATAGTAACGACCTAGGTAGTTTAGATTACTTTAGATATACTAGATAGTACGATTCCTTATCTACGAGCCTGTATCCGTCGATAGGAACTTTCTAATTAAAACTAAAAAAAGTCGTCGTTTTTTCTATATATGCGCTCTAAAATCCGAATAGAAACGGCCTAGACGAGAGATATCGTGCGAACGCTAATTAGTGTGAAATTTCGCCGTACTATACCCTATATACTTAGAGTCCTATCCCCGTCTAGTCTAGAGATAGATCTTATATATAAACTAGTGTTTATATAGCTCGAAGAGCTATAAGTAAAGGCCGAAGAGCTATAAGTAAAGGCTAAGGCGACAAGCGGGGTAGGGTGAGCTAGATTCTAGAAGATTCCACGGCGGCTATTGCCGTGCCGCGCTAGGTAACAAGGCGGAAATCGTTATAAATCGCACTTTTTAAATCGCGCGCCTTTCTAACAACAACTTTAGGTATTAGAAAACACTATTTAGAAACGCTTATAGTAAGTACTATTAGAAACGCTTATAGTAAGATAGTCTAAAATATCTAAAGTAACTACTTCCGGAATACGCCTATAGTAATTACTATCCGGAATACCTATAGCGAGTACTATTCGAAATATCTATAGTAGATAGTTCTTTCTAAGTAGGAACGCTTATAGTAAGTACTATCTATAAGGCGTATAGTAAGTCTAATCTAAAACGCCTAAAGTAATTTTAATCTAAAATACTTATAGGAATTCTAATTTAGAATACTTATAATACTAAGTACTATTTAGAACGCGTATAGTAACTCTAATCGGGAGCGCTAATAGTTAGTACTACTATCTATAACGCTTATACTAAGTTTTATTTAGAACACGCTATATAGTAATTCTAATCCGAAACGTATATACTAAGTCCTATCCGGAACGCGTATAGTAAGTACTATCCGGAACGCGTATAGTAAGTACTATCCGGAACGCGTATAGAAAGTCTAATTCGGAACGCTAATAGTAAGTACTATTAAGAACGCTTATAGTAAGTAGTACTATCTAAAATACCTATACTAAGTACTATTTAGAATACTTATAGCAAGTTATATCCGAAACGGTTATAGTAAATACTACTAAAAACGTTTATAGCGAGTACCCTATATAACGCCTACTACGAGTACCCTATAAAATGCCTATAGCGAGTACTCTATAGAATATCTATAGCGAGTAGTACTATCCGGAACGCGTAGGATAAGCCTTATTTTAAACGCTTAGTATAGTTAGTTCTATATAGACCGGAACGTTTCGAACTGTTTATAGTAAGTACCTTATATAACGCCTACTACGAGTACCTTATAAAACGCCTATAGTAAGCACTCTATAGAATACCTATAGCGAGCAGTACTACCCGGAACGCGTAGGATAAGCCTTATTTTAAACGCTTAGTATAGTTAGTCCTATATAAACCGGAACGTATATAGCAAGTCTTATCCGAAACTAAATACCTATATTAAGTACTATCCGGAAGGCTTATAGCGAGTAGTACTATCCGGAACGCTTATAGTAAATACTATCTAAAACGCCTATAGTAAATAGTATTCGAACTACCTATAGCGAGTACCCTATATAACGCCTACTACGAGTATCCTATAGGACGCCTATAGCGAGTACTCTATAGAATATCTATAATACTAAGAATAAGTCTAATTTAGAACGCTTATAATACTAAGTACTATTCGGAACGTATATAGTAAGTCTAATCCGGAGCGCTAATAGTTAGTACTACTATCTATAACGCTTATACTAAGTTTTATTTAAAACGCGCTATATAGTAATTCTAATCTAAACGCTTATACTAAGTCTTATCCGGAACGCGTATAGTAAGTCTAACTCGGAACGCTAATAGTAAGTACTATTAAGAACGCTTATAGCAAGTAGTACTATCTAAGATACTAATAGTAAGCACTATTTAGAATACTTACAGCAAGTTATATCCGAAACGCTTATAGTAAATACTACTAAAAACGCTTATAGCGAGTAGCAATATTTGAAACGCTTATAGCGGTAACTATCCGAGGTATCTATAGCAAATAGTACTATCCGGAACGCTTATAGTAAACACTATCTAAAACGCCTACATTCGAACTACTTATAGCGAGTACCCTATATAACGCCTACTACGAGTACCTTATAAAACGCCTATAGCGAGTACTCTATAGAATACCTATAGCGAGCAGTACTACCCGGAACGCGTAGGATAAGCCTTATTTTAAACGCTTAGTATAGTTAGTCCTATATAAACTGGAACGTATTAAAGGACGGAAACTAATACTACTACTACTACTAGCAGTAATAGTATAGGCTACCGAGGGTAATATAACCTATAGCAATATAGGCAACTATGTTTAGCATAATAGGATAACAAGACGGTTGCTTAGGCTAATAACTAGAGCCCTGTAACATAGGCATTATAGAAGTGTGATATAAACAATATACTATACGAGGTTAGTAATCTATCTACAATATAGAAGGAGGCCTCTTATATAGGCTTAAAACTTAGCCTAGGTATATAGGGCCGGTTACTAGCTAATATCCCTCCCTTTCTTCGTATCTAACTAGACACGCTTTACATTGTACGCTTAAAACAAACAGTTATATAGTAACCTTAGGCATCTTAGCTAAGGCTATTTTTTAGAGACTCCGTAATAATACCCCCGGGGTAGCATTGTTCCTAGATTCTATTAACATGCAAAAACAACTTCCTAAGCATCTAATCTACTACGCTAACTTACTACTGCTTCAATGCACCGTAATCCTTACTAGCAATAACCTTATTAGCTAGTCGACTGTCCTAAACTCCTCCGTAGGTATTAAAGCTATTAGCACTAAAGTACTCTGCCTCGAAGCGAGCTTAATTGACGAGGAGATTAGTAGCCTTGTCCTATATAGCCTTCTCCTACTCGCGTAGATAGTCCTTAAGCTCCTCCTTACTAAACTAGAGGATTTGTTTAACTTCGTTCTAAATAACGTAACTTAACTAAGGAATTCTACCGACTAGGGTATCGGAAATGCAACTAAGGCCTTCGACTAAGATAGTAGTAGGGAAGGCGAACGGTACGAAGGTATTAGAACCTAGAAGGGCGGTTAGATTGCGGTATACCTTAGCAACCTTAGCGACGGTTAAGTTGTCGTAGCCCTTAATCTTAGTTCCGTCGATAATACGAGAGTAGCCTAGGTCGATTAATATACGGTCGCTCTCGGGCTTTAGGTCGCTATACGGAAGGTATAGCATCTAAATAGAGACTTCGCATTCTTTTAGAGGGGTAAGGATCTACTAAGCTACCTCGCCTTCGTTAGGCTAACTATCGAATATATAACCGAGGTCGTCGTTAGTAAGGTGCTTGTTAGTAAGCTTGCTAATCTTGTTTAGTAGAACTAGGCTACGGGTATTAAGCTTCTTAACCTAGTTCTCGAAGACCTCTAGTTTGTACATGCCCTCGATAATAGTTAAATAGGCGGTCTTATCTTTAGATATAAGAGAAACCTTAATGCGTAGATAGCTAGCACCCTTACTAGCTGCGAGCTTAACTATATCTTATCCGAGACGAGAAGTCTCCTTCGTAGGGCAGTTCTTATAACCGCTATTACCTATCTTAAAGTACTTAGTAGGCTTAGGGACGGAGATAAGCTCGTATACGTAATTAGGTCGAAGGGCAACGGCTAAGAGCTATAAGGCGGGATACTAACGGACGATTTAGTTACTTACTCTATAGGTTTAAAGGGTATTACGGCCTTCCTACTTAGACTTAGGCAGTTTACGCATATACTAAAAGAATATACGAAACTCCTCCTATATTAGGTCGACGATAAGAGGAAGGTACGCTCTATAAGGCGACTATATCTAACCGAAGACTCGAGGGAAGATAGTATTGCTAGTCTATCGAAAGCGGTCGAAGGAAGTGCCTTAGCCGAGAATGCTAGTAATTAACTTATACCGACGCTTAGTTAGCGTAAGATCGCGAGTAATAGTACTAGTAGGGTTGAATACGTAGAGTCCTAGGGAGGTCGGGGCGGTAGTAGGGCGTCTAGGAAACTAGTTAGTATAACTAGTCTTAAAGGCAGCGAAGGTATCCTAATTAGCAATCTCGCGTCTAATCTTTAATAAGCGACCGATAAGAACACTCGTCTTAGCACTAGCGTAAAGACTATAGACCTTAGCGGCCTTCTTAATATAGTTAGCATATATAGTAAACCGCTCTTTACCTAGCTTGCTAAGGTCGTCGAGCTATTAATAGATAGATAGGGCGGTAGGAGCTTTGCCTATATCGGCTTTAGGAACTATATCGATGTTAGTAATAAGGTACGCAATAGAGTCGCCCTTATAAGAACTATAGATATTCTTAGTTAATAGGATCGGCGAGAGGCCTCTATCTCTACGCTCGCTAAAGGAGCCTTCGAAGGAGACATCTTCTAGTAGTATATCTAGTATATTAACATCCGAGTTACTATAGTTAGTACTATAGTTAGTACTATAGTCGGTACTAGAAGGAGTACTATACTTCTTAGTAGCCTTACGGAGGGCCTAGCGAGCATACAATACCTTCTTACGTACTGCTTCGGCCTTA